GTGTTGTGTACAAAAGTTGAGTTCGGCCCTACTCAGAGAATTTCCCGGTAGATCACGGTTATTACCAGGATTTACAAAGTCCAATCAGAAAACGATGAGAGCCACAAGACACGACATATTATGACTAAGCTGTGATCTCGGCTTTAGGTATCTAGTTACCATAAACGAGGTATTCCGTAACAGACCATTTAATTAACATTATTTTTATAAAAATGGATTTTTTCGCATAATATTATACAAAACGTATATAACTATTAACTATACGTTTATACAAGAATATGTCAAGAATATTAGCTGTGTGCTAGTTCAAATAAATATTAGTATAGTTCGTATTATTCATTAATGGGATTGAGTTTTTAACTAAATATTAAAATTTTAATAATTAGTTACCAACATAATAATAATATATTATTATATATATTTTAGTATCAATTGTAATACATACCTACTATTAATAATATTTTTATCAACAATAACATAGTATAAGAAATTAAGAAATGTATCTATCAAATTGATAATATGTAATATTAAAAATTTTGCTTAGTCCATTATTATAGTTATAAATTATAAGATGTTCAATCAATTTTTATTTTACTCAATATAACTAATTTATTATCACTATCATCTTGTATATTTATAAGTATTTCGACCACTATAATCATGCAGCGTTTCTACATGTTATAAATATCACATCGCCATTCACCCAATCTGTTTTTGTGTCTCAAAAATCAACTGACCTTAGAGATTCAGCCACCAATACATAAATAATTAAATGATGTTATAAAAAATCGGATGATGAAAATTCCGATTCTGACATGTAAGAACACTAAGAACAATTATAAATTTTATAAACTAAATAATTTAATATTTTATAACTAAATATTTTTTAAAAGTTAGAATCTGAATTTTCATCAGCCGACTTTTTTATAATTTAATTACATTTATTTAAAATCATTTGATGTTGGTGGCTGTGGCGCTACAGTCAGTTGATTTTTATACACATTTTATATATAGGTAGGTACAGAATACAGATGCATAATAACAAATTATGTTAAAAAAAAAATTAATTTAGAAAAATTAATAAAAATTGAAAATTTGTACTAGGTAAGTAAGATAGTTTTTATCGAAAATAATTTTTAAAAAAAATCTCAAGACTAAATAGATCAAAAGGAGATAAAATATTTAAAAATGTTGTCATACATGGAAAAGGCTAATATAAATGTTTACTCCATGTCTCCATATGGTTATTAGTTTTTGAGGTAAGTCCAAAAAATAAAATCAATTTTTGACAGACAGAATAAAAAGAAACATTGTAAAAATGTACCTAATGTAAATACTGCAATACATTAATCTCTAAGCTCAGAATGTAAAACGCTCGACGTCTTGTAACATAATATTTCATATCATTATAAAAAACAGTATATTCTATGTATAATATGTGCAATGTAACAATCAGTGGCGCAAATAGGAAAAATGTTTTTTTTTTGGGGGGGGGGGGCTCAAGCCCCAAAAATTTTTTTTTTAAGTTATAATATATATTATATTAATATTTTTTTGAGGGGGCTAAGCTCCACCGAGCACCCTACCTATTTGCGCCACCGGTAACAATATATAGGTATAATATTATGTATGTCAACAGGACTTGGACGGGCACGTAGATTTCAGATTCAGCGCCCGGTCCATCGAAGACTACCGTCTGCTCTGGCTGCAAATGAGTCGGCTGGTGCACGGGGTCGGCGATTACATGTCGGCCACAGTGACGTTTTGCATATTTCACACGACCGTCACCGTCATCTTGAGCGTGTACGCGTTGGGCGTGTGGGGCGCAACGCTCGTCACACTGCGCAGGTACGAGGCGCTCGCGTCCGCCGCGGTCGCGCTCGTCTGCAACGCCACGTCGCTGTACATATACTGCGATTGCGGTTACAGTCAGACGACAAAAGTCAGTGGTTACCGTCATTTTCTATATTACGTTACTCCTAATGATAATAATTAGGTATGGTTTTTTCGTAGATCTCGGGCACGAATAATAATACATACCTACCAGCTAGGTTAATAGGTACCGTACATAATGGGTAGGTATACCTATTTGATGACGTCCCGCTATAGATGCATAAGTAATACACCATAATATATTATGGTATCTCGGCGACTAAAATGGTAAAACGTCTCCGCGATTCCTTATGAGTCGAGGGCAATATTACACCCATACGCGACTATATATATATTATATTCTTTTTGACGGCGGTTTTCGCACACCATGATTTAGGCCCCGCGGTATTATAATATATTTGTATGTGTACCATCTATTTAGTTACCTATATAGTATTTAGGCATTTTCCACCTACCTATAGGTATATATGCATTCGATAGTGTGTACTTAATGTATATTAAATAATTTCCTGTAAAGGTACATAGCATATTAATTATTATGTATATAATATTATGACCTTAGGTCAGTGGTGGTCAAGATACAGTTAAATTCGAGCCTAGACTGCAATTATCGAATAGGTACATATAATATAGTTAATTGGGTACCTACACGCTACATGCCACATGGTGATTATGGGAGATATTGTTGCTGCAGCTATATCATAAGTAGGTTTTTTTTGTGGCACTCGAAAATAGTGTCAATAATAGTAGGTACCTACATAGGTATACCTATAACCTACCCATAATTGTGGGTAATTTCTTTATAATATATACGTTAAGCAACCTGCACTATATGAATTGATATATTTTTAAAGACTTGATGTAGATACTTATCTACTCATATTAATATAGGATTATAAGTTATAATCATCATACGATTTTTCTCTATTTTAAATTATATAGGTTTAGTTATTCTTTTTAAAGTGGATGAGATCTTATATACCACATTATTTTTGTTGGTGATTAATAGATTGGTACCTGTATAGTGTATACCTGAACCTAGTTTATACATGCATTTTATAGCTGGAATTCAAAAAGTTCGATAAGAATAATTATTTGTATTCATAAAGATATGACTTAAAGTAGGTTAGATTCCTATGCACAATATTTAATTTATTTGGGTTTAGATCGCTATATTATTGGCAAATTAAGGTCCAAGGCGGTTGCGCAAAATGTGGCCACGCCCATATTAGGCGCATTTCCATCGTTATGGGTGCCTACCTATTTATTACAGGGACGAAGAGCTACAGACCAAAATACTGCTAAGCTATTTTAATTTTCTTCTTTCATCGAAAATACCGATTTATTCAAAAACGTATTACGTGCTTTAAACACGAATGTTGTTGTCAGTCTATGAGGGTCTGAAACAAAACTAGAATTGTGTCAGTTGTGGGCAAACTCGTAAATAAAATAAAACAACGAGTCCACTAACTACTTTTCATACATTTGTGGTATAAATAATATGTGTTCATGTACAGTATAAATTATAACGTAACCTACACAGTACACTTAATAATTAACATACAATATTTTAAAAATTAATTTAGTCCAAGTATTTTTATATACCTAACTACCTAACATGAAAATGGTCGTTTTTCAAACTTTGTATAATATATTAACATGGCAAATATTATAATGATTTACTTTTCAGTCTGAAATCAGTACCTATAGATAAGTTCAGTTAACATTTTTGAAAACGGTACCCACGCATTTTGCTTAAGTTAGTTTTTTATGGCTTACATCAGGGGTCTCCAAACTTTTTTATTCAAGGGCCGCAAAAAAAATCAAATGCTCTTAGCGGGCCAAAAGTTTATTAAAACATATAATTTTTAACTTTATGATAATATAGGTACCTATATAAATAATATATTTACTTTATATTTTTGTATAGAATATTGTTTACTTTACAATATACTTAAATAAAAATAAATAGGTATAAATATAATATAATATAAATACATTTTTGAAATAATTTTTTTATCTTTATTTACCTATGCGTCCTATGCGGGCCACGGGCCAGTTAAAACTTGTTAGCGGGCCGCATCCGGCCCGCGGGCCGTAGTTTGGAGACCCCTGGCTTACATTGTAATACTGAATATTATTTTAAGTGTTTCGTTTAAATGTTTTGACTTTTGATATAATTTCTTGGAAGGAAAAAAAGGGATTTCCACTAATCATGAAACGTTGAAGTCAGGGCAGTTTAACAATAACATATAGACATAAGTCATAAGACATAGTAAATTGTATGGTATAACAAAATCTGACCAGGTTATATAACCAGAAAATTGTTTCTATAGATTCAGAACTGATGTAGCCATGTAGGTACCAATAGACAGTAGGTACCTACATCAATATTGATATATTTCAAAACAGTAGGTACGAATAGTACAAATCTGAGCTGTGGACTGTGGTAATAATTAAAAATATACCAAGAGTAAAGATCAATACTAGTTAGTACCTACTACCTACATTAATATTATATTATATTAAATTTCGATGATACCACACAACAATATTAATACGTACCTACATATTTTTATTTTATTTAAATTACGGGTAACCAGTAACTTAATTAGGAAAATGTTCAGGAGTAATTTTAGTTTTGTCAGGATCTAGACATATTTTAAGTCAGGTCATAATAAATTAGTAATTATTATTAGGCTTCAGTATATGGTCGCTGTGGGAGATACACATACCAAGAGGCGAACTGAGGCAACATTTCAACCGTTGCAGTTTATTAAAAGTATGGCCCAAACTTTGAAAATTCATCGGCCCAAAAAATTGTTTTGAATACAATTTATTGCCGCATTGTATGAACTCGCCTATAGGCGGCAATAGACGCCTCATCGACACCCGCGTTAGTTCACGAGTTCACCCTTCTCTCTGACATTCTGGTCATACCAATTGTGTATACATGTATTACCTTCCAATACTCGCATTACCTATAGATTTATGGCTATACAACCACTTAATAAAATTTATTTTAAATGTTAATACACATAATATTATTTTGTCATATACCATATTGTTCGCAGTGCGTTGACGGCGTGATACTACTTATATTGAAAATGAAGTCGTCGACGAGATGGACGAATTCTAATTACATTCAGGTACAACTGGTACAAGTGCAGTTTATAATATACGCCCCCGACCCCGTATAAATATTATATTATACAATATAGTAGAGGCTATATTTATTCGATAAATAATAACAATAACAGGACATTTTGGTAACCAATTAAACATTTTAAAAAACATAACTTCCTGATAAAAAAACTATAAAAATTTTTTTTTTTGAACTACTAACTGAAAATCCGTATTAACCAATATAAACCAGAATAAAAACGGCCATTAACACCGAAACGTTTGTTTATTCTGGTGGTTGAACACCAGAATGCATCATGCATCCCAAAACCCGAATAAATCATTCGGATGCACATGCAGGTTTTGGCAGTGAAAATATTTTGGATGTCTACTATCTCACCTGCCAAAAATGTTGTACTGTTCAGGGGCGACGTTTTGGTTTATTTTAAAAGCGTGATAAGTTTTCTCAACCGTGGGTCATTTAGAAATAATTTTGTCAATTATTGTTTCATATCGTCCCACAAAAGATCTGATATTCGATATTAAAATAGGTACCTACTCACGATTGGAGAGCCCCGTTTAAACACGTAGTGATTTCACGAATACAGGTATAACTCAAATATGCTAAGCCCGCGACCCCTATTCCATTCTCATAATGATATTAATATTAGGTATAAAATGTAAAAAAATATCCTCAACATACTAATAATATTTTAGTTATAAATAAAATATGTGTAACGGTTGAGACATATTAAAAGCGGTTGATAAAAATATGTGTGTTAATCTTGTTTTATTGAATTTTATTTAATAAGCTTCTTTATTTTATAAATTGTTCAATTGAAAGTTGATTGGGTTGATTCATTTATTTAGGATGGGGGCGATTTACCCTTCACTCACCCCCCGAGATGTCACGTGTTGCCTATGAAGTTGTTCATAGCCTACCAGAGGTATTTAAACTTAAAACCACGGCTCTTTCGTCTCTTCACAACATTTTGGTTGCTCTCAAAATTATTATAAGGATATGGAAAAAATATGTTTTAATGTTAAATTAATTATAATAAGTAATAGTATAATACAGTCGGACTTGGTTAACTCGAAGTTGAAGTGACCGCGGCCAAAAAGTTCGAGTTTTTCGAGGATAATAATAGGACATAAATAGGAAATTTTAGATATCGGGAAAGACTTTGGGGTATCGACGATTTTGCGTTAACCTGGTTCGACTGTATAATAAATACAGAAATTATATCAATACAACAAATTTAATAATAATTAGGCATTGAAACCAATACTGTCAGAATACCTTATGTTTAGAATCAAATAATATGTTAATAAATTGTCATCATCGTTATTTATTTAATTTTCTGTGCCACAGATCCCCTGACAAATACTTGTGACGCAAAGTTTGAATCAGTGGCGGATTTAACGGTAGTTTGGTCTGCAAATGCCGACGGAGCCACTCCCCTAATATGTAAACTGTGGTTCAACTAAATTATACAGTTTACTTTTTTTCAATTTTTACCTAAAAATTAAAAAAAAATGTATCTTATATTGCAAACTGTAATATCGATGGCGTGTGATAAGTGACATTTTTTTGAAAAATGAGTTAAGTGCATAATCAATTTAATCATACAATTCTGCACATTATGCCCAAACGTTGTAAGTGAATAGTTCATTATTTACTCCGATAGACGTCGTACAGTTCGTTACATTTTTGAATTTGTTATGACATCTCAAACTTAAAAATCGTTCTCCTGAACAATTACGAAAATGTCACTTATCACACTTGTGCGCTACGCCATCGATATAATTTACCATTGTGCCATTGTTCAGTTAGGTAAGGTTAATAAAAACAAAAATTTCATAAGTATGTTACTGATACATTTTGTAAGAGGCACGAGGCCCCTCTTATGAATTTTCTGACTTCATATGAACCCTTAAAATCCACCTCTGGTTCATACACCCCTACAGCACAACATATTTCAATTACATTTCTGTAATGTAATTTAGTAATTTAAATATATCTGAATCTGATACATAAAGTTATGTATTTGAAACACCATGTGCTGTTTAGTACTAAACACAAGCTTATTGATTTTCCAAATGAGAGAAAGGTTAGGTATTGCTTCAATATTAACAACTTTTTTACTACGTCTAAATAGATAACACTGTTCTTGAATGCCATTAATCAATATCAACCGAACGTTAATGTGATCGGTTTCTACGAAATCAACAGAGGATTGCTTGGTTCGGTGAGTGCAAGAAGCTTGGAGGGGAAATTGATCTTAAGTCACCATCACATATTCACATGCATCATAAAGATTTTTTTTTCAGATTTTATCCTTGCTTTTGACATACTTAATAGTTCTCGTACAGTTGAACTCTTCATTTACCACGCCGAGTTCTGAAGAACAGGACTACAATACTACTATGACATAATTGAAAGGTGGCGGTTATTAAAGAAAAATATTCATTGTTATTTTGATGTTTTAATTTTTTTAAGAATTTAAATTTCCAATTTCTTATAATTAATGTACTTAAAAAATAATCACATGTAAAATAAATATCGTGAATAAATAATTAAAATAATTTTATAATGGTGATTTTTTATCAATTTACTAGGTATAACATATTTTTCATTGACGGAGGTAAGTGTTTAAGATGTTTTTGATGTGATTTGATGGGTCTGCTAAATTCAAACCTGGAATAAAATAAACACAATGATTTTATGTCAACACACTAGCCAATAACAGTTAACCTGTTAAGAGTTACCTAACTAAGCTACACCAATAACTACTGATATATATATATATATTTAAACTAAATAATTTAGTTAATAAAATATAATACATAATAGGTGTATTTGAGTAATGATATTACTAGTTATTTCAATTTTTAAATAATTTGTATGATGAATTGTTTATATTATTAAGGAAAAATGTAGTAAAAAAAAGTTTTGATATAAATAAAAATTTGTTAAATCAGTCACTAATTAAAAATATCAATATTTAATTTTATTCAAAATACCAAATACCTATGAACTATGTACCTATGGAGTTCTCGGAAATATTTGAAAATTTCAGTTTAATCCAATTTGCATATTACTTATATAAAATACTGACAAGACTTAGTTTCTAACATTAATACTATCCTAGCAAACTATAACTACCACATTTCTTGTTTTTACTCAGAATCTAAAATGTTGATATAATATTGGTACCTATAACTAGACTTATCTCACAACTTCCCAATATATATATTAAAATATTATGTATTTAGATAATCTATATCTTACCTGCAGCATCACAAAGTTCTTCAAATGAGGTACAAGGTAAGAAATCTACACTTAAAGCGTTCATCATCATTTCTGATGATTTGAGCAGTGTCTCATCATTGTGACGAATATAGTCAGCTAAGCTAACAGACCAACTTTTACTTTCGGAAACCTCGACGGTCTGTAAGTGATATATAAACATAAGTATTAGAAAATCATACTGATTTTAAAAAAAACGTCACTCATTACCTTGAAATAACATTCATACATCTTATTGATTAGTACAAAGAACATAAGAGCTGATTTGTAAGCAGTATAATCATGAGGAGCCAAAGGCACAAAATGTACTTTGGGTGCTATAGAGGAATTAGTATGATGAACATGAGCCATCAATATTATTCTATTTAAATGTATTAGACGATTTGTCAACATCCATTTTGAGTATGGAGTTAACATAATGGCCATTGTGAGATAGTATAATGGACCTTCAGTATCATAAAAACTATCAATCAATTGGTCAGCAGACTTAGGCTCTAGGTATGTATTTAAATTACGTTCCTCTGCACTGGATCGCCTAGTCCTAAATGTATATGTTATAAACACAGTTATAATAAAATGTAAATTATCAAACTGAACTGTTACATACGTGTTAATCACATATAATGCCATGTGCATGAGGTATGGAAGTAGGTTCATATTTGACTGAGGTCCACCACCTCCAGTGTCTTCGTGGAAGCTCTTTGCTTGTGCAAATCTGAATAAAAGTAACTTAAGATCGTGCACTGTTTGCATGTAACTTATATCTCTTTGACCAGTAGCTTCTTGTAAATATGAGTTATGTCTGGCTAAGCAATTTGCATATGCTGATTCAGCAACTGATGGACCCCACATTGGCAATAAACCATTACACTTTGTGTTTGCATTTTGTAAAGCAGCCGATTCCCATTCATCTCGAACCCTTGCAAGTCTAAAAAATACAATTCGAAAATAGAACAATGTAATTTTCTTCTTAAAAATAAATTATATTTAAAGGTTATTATTTAATGGTCAGTAGTGACTAGATACAACGGTGTCTAGCCGGCCCTTGACACAATTGTTTTCAATATGGGTACAGATACGGATACAAAGTTGTTAAGTTTGGAACCAATAAATATATATTATATAAATAAAAGCTTAGGGTTACCAGGGATCACCGGTCAGCCTAATGATCCAGATTCCAGACTAATAATGTTCAGTAATTAAAATTAAATAAAAATTTTTATAAGATGTCTACATACCAAGCCAAATAAATAATAATTGTAACATACAAATTATTTAGAATAAAAGTATTGGAATTTTAACATTATAAGCAACCATTTAAACTAAGATTGGTTGATTATACACATATTTTTTTTGTTTTTTGGTATAAAATAAAAATAAAAAAATATAACAAAAGTATACTTTTAATTCTACAAGATAAGCAGTATAAATTAATATTATTTAAAATTTTGCTTACCTAACTGCAGACATATGACAGTCAAAATGAACAACATTGAAATGTGTTACAGTACTGTATCCAATGGTTTTACGAGCTTTCACTTCATGTTCTTCAACAACACACCTCTTGGTAAATGTGTAAATACCTAATACTTTGGTTGGTTGGAATTTATATCCTTCACGGCAAATGACACACACTAATCCCGTCTCTTCTCCTAAATCTTCTACTTGTTGCAATAACGAGGTCTCAGCAGTTACTTGACCCTTTTCATTAGTACGCATCCCTAATTGTCCAAGTTGTTTTTGTCGCATTGCCATCGCTAATCGTTTTTTCTCTGCTTTAGTTTGTTCACGAACTTGTTCTATTTTTTCTGCCATTTTTGGATTTGTTTTTAATGCTTCTAATAAATTTTCAGCAAGAGATCCAACATGTTCATCTGACGACACTTGTTCTAAGCAATGTACTGTATGAATACATTCATCAGAAACAGCAGTCTGAAATTATTATAAAAAGGATAATTTGTTTGAATAAAAAATAAAATTATCAACAATATTTTTCAAACAAAAATTGATCCCACCCAAAAAAAATGTTCTGAGCAAATAGATTGCAAACATTAAATATTATTTTTTTTTTTTTTAATGTTTTTACAAACTATTAGATGTAATTGAAATACGACCTCTTTGTACCAGCTAGATAATATTTCAGATCAATAAAGGGACAATAGATTTTTGGAGTACACTTTTAGTTCAAAAAAGTATTGATAAAACATAATTATAAAATTAATACATTTTACGATTATTTGCTTAGAATCTAAAATAACTCAATTGTTTTCTAAATACAATTTGACTAATCTAGAAACAATGTAAAGTTTATGATTTTAAGAATTTTTAATTTAATAATATACCTGAGTTGGTTCATGACCATTAGCTAATCCAGTCCAAAATCTTAAAATATATTTTAACGAAGGTTTAGAAATGAATTCTTTCCATTCATCTTTATCATTGTTCTTGTTTAATGTTGCTTTTACTGTTGGTGCATGGCGCTACAAAGTAAATAGAGTTATCTTAAAATGTCAATTGAATTTCTAAACTTCAAATTATACTTACTGATATATATTGGATAACATTATTAATAACCCCAAGAGAAAGAATATAATCTTTTAATGTATTTCCAAGTGAATTATTTTCAATGCCGTAGGTCAAATCACAAAACAGATTCATCTAAGTAAATAAATAAATTATTTATTTATAAATTTAATGAATCATTAATCACATTACCATTTGTTCATCTTGAGCAGAGTGGACGTCATCAAACTTTTCAAAATCAGAAATCACTGAAGCAAAATGATCCATGAGAATAATCATTTTGGCTTTATTATTGTATGTAAGAGCAGCTAAGACCCGAGTTAGATGCTGAACAATTGTATAGCGAGCATTTGATGCACAGTGTAGAAGATATCGAATATGGTCATCAGGGCCAAAAGTCTCTGATAGTCTAGCAAATGTCTCAGGGCCTTTTGAAGTGGCTTTTGATAATATTGTTTCCAAAATCTATTTATTGAATTAATTGTTTTAAATAGTTTAAAGGGTATAATAGTTTACTTAAATATTTAAATTTAAATTTTACTTACATCAAGAGTTTGTTCAGTAAGTGACGTGTTTGACAAGCCATCAGCTTCATTACTTAAACATAACTCAAGTGTACTAAGAAGGATTGGGATGGATCCTAGTCTAGGTTCAGTTAATATTTCTTGATTATGTTTAACTTTAACACAAAGTCCAAGTAATTTAAGGAGTACTTGGAGGAGTGGACGTGATCTTGACAGATCTTTTATTGTAGATAGACGATACATTAGAACTCCCAGACCACGACACTCTGCCATCACATTAGCCATTTTATAAACTTCTTCGTTATTGACTTCTTGATCAGATTTGGCATCCAACGTTTCAATGAATTCTTCGGTAGCATCTCCCAATAATCCTCTCATGCGATAAACAATATGCATGGCTGCTTCATTGTCCCCACCTTCGGGCAACCAAATCTTTTTGTACACCTAGTTATAAAACGATATACATTAAATTATAGTGTAATGCTTTCAATATATTAAATTCAAACTATAAATGTAACCACAATGTTTTACCTCTTTAACAGGCAGATCCAAGCTGATAATCTTATTGTTGACCAAAAGTTCCATGCCATTATCATCTTCCAATAGAGCAACCAGTTCACAATCCTGACAGATTTTATTTTTGACATCTCTCATTAGAGGTCCAAGACCAGATTCATTACAACTATATGGATTACCTAACATGCGGCCCTGTAAAACAATAATTAATTACATTTTAATATTATTGTAATATTTTTTTATTAATTTAGTTTGTTGGATATCTAATAGAAAACTGTGATTATGAACTAACCTCTAACAATATATTAGTATTACAGGATTATAGACAATAATAAGTACAACATTAGTTCAATTATATTTTTGTTAAATAATATTTGATATTAAATATAATTGTAAATATATTCCTAGTTAATATAAATGTTATCCACACTTACTTGCAAAAAGTCTTCTTGTTGAGGATCTTTGTCTAGATTCATATAAAATTCACCAACATCATTTTCTTCTGGATAAATTATTGAACACAATCTTTCGAACACAAAAACTGGAGTACGGACATCCTGTAAATCACATTTTTCTACTGTTTCTACACAGATTGCCATAAATGCTTTTGATTCTGTTTCCGTTCCACACGTCATTTCTTCAAGAAGATCCAAAAGTTGAGATTGTGTTTCATCAATTAGACGTGTTCTTTGAACAACTAAACGACGGAGAGAAAGATATCCATTTAAAATAGCGCCTACAAGTCTTCCTTTGTATTGTTGTTTTATGCTCTCAACTTCCAAAAATGATGCTAACAGTCCAGTTAAACTTTTTAAGACAAATCCTTGAGCTAAATCTGAAGTTAATGTAGTTTCCTCTAAATAATGCAAATGTTTTATTTCTTTTGTAATTATGTCGGATATCATAATAAGTACTCCTCGTAATGCTAAGTACTGTTTCCAAGGAGTTTGCTGAATGAGATTTTGATATAAACCTAAAAATTCAGCACAGTTTTCTCCTGCACTTCCTAGTTCTGTTAAGAACCCTGTCAGAAGATCTAAAATCTACAAACATACAATTATTAATTTATAGTTAAAACCAATAATTCAACAAGAAAATACCTCTTTTTTCCTTTCTGGTACTTGAGCAATACCTTCAAATATAGCACAAGCAACTTGTCTTAATAATCGTGTACTCGAACAGAATAAGAAATGCTTTAGCCATGAAGACTCTGTTAGGTGGAATGGTTTAGCAATATCTCTTAAAGAATATAATCTCCATTTCTTAAAATATTTAGAAGCCAAGTAATATTGTCTGATTTCATTCTAAAAATATATAATTAGTAATTAGTAATTACATATTATATTTGAGTTCAACCATAAAGCATTATCATATAAATAGTAAGTTTTTAAATAAATACAATTTCATTAAATTTATTTTTTGTTATATATTTTAGTAAAATAGGTAGAGCATCATTAATGACATTAATGGAATAATGGAAAATACACATAATATCGATGGCGTGGCGCACAAGTGTGATAAGTGACATTTTTTTTGAAAAATGAGTTAAGTGCATAATCAATTTAATCATACAATTCTGCACATTATGCCCAAACGTTGTAAGTGAATAGTTCATTATTTACTCCGATAGATGTCGTACAGTTCGTTACATTTTTGAATTTGTTATTACATCTCAAACTTAAAAATCGTTCTCCTGAACAATTACGAAAATGTCACTTATCACACTTGTGCGCTACGCCATCGATATAACATTTATATAATTATATATTATATACTATAATATTGTAATAGGATATATTGAAAAAATTCACTTAAAAGTTGATCAAAAAATATTTATACTACTCTGTCACACTAACATTTATGGTTAAAAATATATCAGTTTAAGTGACAAAATTCGTAGATCCCTTGATTGTCAATATAAAATAGATTAACATACTAATTTTATATAAATAAAAAGAATTAATGATATTTATCTAAGAATTAAGATTTACTTATACATTTTTGTCTTCAAAATAATTGTCCTGCTCTTAAGTCAAAAAAGATCTACTAATATTTTAATATCTTACCTTTGACTTTGGCTTATTTTTAAGGGGAGCATCTGATGGTGTTTTCTTTTGAAGTCGTTGACGCCATGCATTAAACATATGCTCAGGGCTTTGTTTAGCCCATTTTCTAAAATCAACCATTAAATGATCTGACATTTGAACAGTTGACAAAACTTCAGTAGATTTATCCTAGATTAGCAAATAAAATAAAAACTTAGTTCAACATTGGTTATGTTAGAATATATAATTTATATTCTATAATGTTATGTGATCACTTTTAGATTTTGAGCAGAGCAAAGAAGCTAGTAGTTTTACAATAGTATAAGTTTTTTTTTTTCATCTTGTAAATAAAATTTCTACCAGAAGGAGAGCTTTGATTTCAACATATAGTATCTTAGATTTTAGCAAATTGGATCAAGATGGTACTTAACCCATCGCATAGCACAAGGATTTAGTTGTCTCATTTACGCGCATAGGGTAAAAATGTATAGATATACAAATACAAAGAGAGTTTACATTATACAGTGATTATAAAAACATTATTATTTTTTTTTTTTTAACAATATTTCGTATAATTGTAATATTTGAGGCTATTGAGGTGATCAAATATCCACATACCATATTATATTTTCTGAACATTTTTAAAATGATTGGGGTAATTATTTACCCCGAGACCCGTACGACGGGTTAAGAGAGGGCATTTTTGGATTTTCTCAATAGTTTTTCAGCGCCAGGGGAAAAACCACCAATTTTTTTTCTAACGTTTTTTTTATCACCATAGAAACAAAATTCAATCTAGGTAAATTATACACAATTAATGGTTACTTATTAATAGATATTTATGGTTCATACATTTTCTTCCTTCCGCTCAGAATTGTTTTTTATCGAATGCAATCATTTCATTCAAATTGAATACTATAATAATACACTATTAGACAGAAGGGAAGATGGACAAACTTCCACCACATAGTCATAGTCTAGAACATGTAGATATGGCATATGGAAGACCTTTTTATTTTTTAGGGCCCTAAACTTGTTCATTGAACATTTTTAAATTATGCAGAGTGATGTACTCATTATTGAGGATGTCTCAACCTAATGTATGGGAACTTGAATTTATGTTTATTACTTGAGCAATTTAACAAATTGAGATAGCCTGTCTTATATGATTGATTTTTCTTTTAACCTAACACTAATAATTTACAACAATTAATTTAAAAAATAATGGAAATGTTTTTCATATATAATTAATTTATCTATCATGTTTAAGAGGTATTCAAAAAATAAAAACAATAATATAGTTTACCTTGTTTACTTTAGAAGATGAAGTTGGTGGCTTTATAATATTACGCATCATTTTTAAACATGGTAATGTTATGTAAGTAACAATTGCTGAAGACTGGAATTCTTTGCATGTCATAAAGAATAGCTGCATTACACATTTGGCTTTTTGTTCCCAGCATGAATCTTCTTTGTACAGCATTGTTGCCAGTAAAGATATCTCAGGTCTCACAGCAAATGCTAGGTCAGCATTCGCAATTGGTCCTCGAATTGTAAGTGATATTCTTTGACTCAACAATCCACATAAATCTTCAGTAGCCTTTTGATTATCTTGTATTAAAATACAAAGCAGATTTCTTACTTCTTCCTGAGTCTAAAATTATAATGAAAATGAAAATGCAAAATTAAACATCATTCAAAATAATTAATTTTGAGTATTACTTGAACTGAGCCTCTTCTAATATTATTTTCAACCAGTTCTTGAATAAGTCCTTGTTGCAATAGTATTTTCCGCAACGTCATGTTTGTAGCAAGAGCACGTAACATAACAAAACAATGTTCTAAAGCAGCTGTTATACACCCATAGCAACTTGTACTTGGCAAAGAGCATGCAGTTGATACATTTTGAGAAACAGGTATTACAGAATCAGAAACTGAAAGAGAACTAATACTGCCGTTCAAACGAATTGTGGATTTAACTTGTCCCAGTTGTTTTTGATCATATGCTATTAACTCTTTACGACTTGCCAAAACTTTCTGAAATAATTTAAAATAACAATTCAAATATTATTTTAATACAATTTTTTAAAGAGTGCAATGATTAAAATAGAATAGAATATCCAATAAAATATTTTCAGTTAATAAGATTTCTAGAAAAAAAACATAATAATTACTTGAACAATGCGGCTGAGATCTTCAAAAGTATTACGGCATTCAGAACCATACTTTTGTGCCAACAATTGAATAGATCTATTTACTTGATGTACAGGTCCAGAAGAAATGTTATTGTTCATAGCTCCATTTACAACAGCAGCAAATCCTGAGACAGGAACAACATTTGGACTTTGGCTTTCTTCTGCATTTGTATTATTAGATTTTTCCAAACGATTTTCCATAACTTTTACTAACATATTCTAAAACATAATAATTAATAACAATGGTTATTTAATTAATTATTTTTTATATTACTTATTTTAATTGAACACGTTAATGTTTTTTTACCTCTAATACAGGTTTAGACGATACAAGTTGTTTGTATAACCTATCAGCTTTTTCCAAGTTTGAATTGATGGAACTTAAAGTCTTATTCCTATCATGGTCATCCTCAATAGGATCAACAGCACAACAAGGCTTAGCAGTTAAAACATAATCAAATTTAGCGTATTTACAAAAACCACAAGAATGACAGAGGAAGGGATCTTTTTCATCATAATTTATAGCACTAAAAAAAAAAAATTTTAAGTAACAATTTATTTATTTGATTTTAGATATTGCATTCAACTTACCGGCATTTATGACATTGGAAAACATTCTCACCACAGTTAGAACAAACACCTGGGTTTGCAGGCACCGTTGCACTACACCTAGGACACTGTAAAGTCTCTGAAGAGGCATGCAAGTTCTCGTAAAAACTAGAATACTCAATTAATAAATTCCACGCAACTATTGGTACAGCAAATTCGACTTTGACTTCAGTTTGTCCTGATGTTAATGTGATTTCTTTAGCTTTATGCCACATAGCTGGTTTATTTTTAAGCTCCACCACGGCTTGTACATAACGGTTATTATAAAATATATTCATTGTGCGCACCATTTTGGTGCGTTTTAAATCAGTTATTCGTAACACTATTTTATTAATAGTGTGACTTCCCATTAGCTTAACAATTTGAGTAGTAGTAGTGAACTTTGAATCTACCTTTATGGAAGTCAACTTGATATTGGTGAAGGGTATTTCAGGGTTATTACAAACCATGCATGGTTCACTTTCTAAATAAAATCCTTCTAAATCAACATATTGCGATACTTGAGTATACAAATTAGCATTAGGGTGGCATGCCAGTTTATAGTTTTGTGTTCTTAATAACTCAATTGCCTGTTCAACATATTTAGTAGATGTAGCTGCTTTTTGGTTGTACTTAAAACTGAAATAACCTAATAAATCGACAAATTGAGATGCTTTCCTTCCATATGTGGGTAATTGTGGCCATAGAGCCCATAACATTTCAAGTAATTTTTCTTGATCATCATGTTCTGAATTTCTATAAATTGACAATACTAGAGCATGAGCTTGCCAACGAATATGTGTAGAATTTGTTTCGAGTAAAAATGTTTTAACAAATCTTGTTAAAATATCCTTATTTAATCGTTTATTCATTTCTTTAACTAGTATCATGCATTGAGCTTCCTCGAGCATAGCATTCTCAATGTCTTCTGCTACTTTAGACACTTTAGTTTTAGATTCTTTTGCAGAAGGAGTTCCAGACTGGTTTTTAGCACCACAAATAGCGTATTGAAGCAAATGCAGAATTGTAGATGATACACCTTCATCTAAAAAGCATGCTGCACGCATTAAATACAATAATACTGTGTTATCTTTGCGACAATATAGTTGCCAATTCAGCATACGACTTGATGCAATGTCAACACAAACTTTTACATCTTCCACTAATTCAACAAGTTTGTCATATGTTAAGTTAAGAGACTGCGGAGTATTCTGATCTCCAATATCACATGTGACTTGGAAATTCTAAAAAATAAATATACATATTTAATAAATAACAATACTAAATTATCATAAATTTAAACAAGTTTGATTATAGTATACCTTCATACTAGTCGATAAAGCATGCATATCTCTAATCTGCCGATATTTATCCTTGTTTCCACAAACGAATAATAGTAACTTTCTAACTTGACGTTTAATAAATGGATTAATTGTTTTTAAACTCATGAATTCACATAGTACAGTCAACCATTCCTAATTCACAAATCAAAATGTATTAACCTTACATCTAGAATTCTAGAAATAAAATATTTAACATCTAAATTAAATGAAAATAATACGTACTGGTTCAAACGACAACTGCGACCAACTTTTCTGTATTTGATATGGTAATCGTAAAAGCATTTCAGTCAAAATTATAGGGTAATTATGGAAGATATCTTTGGTTTGACTAACTGAGTAGGGCTTCAAAAAAAATGGGCTCATATCTGGAACACGTGAAGGACCACTTGGTTCCAATAAAACACTAACCACATTGGCACCACTGTCATCATTATCACTAAAACTATAATATTACCATTCATTAAATAAAATATAATACTTATCGTAAATAATTTATTAATTGCTATTTAATTACCTAGCCCAATATTCCTGTAAAGCTTTCAATGCTTTTAGGCAATTGGTTATAAATTGTGCATGTTTTAACATGGATGCAGCTGTTTGAGATATATATGTTGTATGATCAGATGATGATTTAGAGCTAGATTTAGGTCTTGCTAATAAAACACCTAAAATATGTAAGAATTAATTAAAAATATTTAAAAAAAAAAATAAAAAAATTAATAAAAAAAAATATTTAAAATATTTTTTTACTTACCAATAAAACGCATAATAATTATGACTATTTCTCGTTGTGAATTTCTTATATGTAAATTAGAATCATCTAATGTTTCTCGGCGAATATATGTTATAAACATTTGCATAAGTTCGGTAAAATATTCCTTATCTCCTTCATTATTCAAATCCATATCTGCCACAATTGAAGAAACCACCTTAAAAACAATATTAATATTAATAAAAAAATTGAGTACAAGCTAAATATACTTATATTTAATTTCACAATTATTAATTTTATTAAAATAAACCAAACTAATCAGATTTAGTTTTAAGATAGGTGATCGGACACATAACACCCTCATTTTTTTTTTTTGAACCACTGCATGAAGAATTTATGAACAGTTCATACCACTAACATTAGTTGATCTGGCATTATACAATGTGTTCCAGGGGGAAGTGACCGGCCGACGTCATATGAAAGTATACTCAAAATGATGAAGAAATACCCTTTAAAGAGTGGGTCTAATTTTTTTATTTTTTAAGTTATGAGCAGTTAACTTTTTTTTTATCAAAACCAAACCTATCACACATATTTGACGTAATTCGACTACTCGATTCTAAGAAAATCAAGATTGTGACGACAGCATATAATTCTGCAATCATGGAAGATACGAAAACCCAACTTTTAATTTATTCAAGGTCTTATTCAGTACAATACTACAAAAAACAAAAACCCATAATAAATACTACATTTTTTGGAGTTATACGCAATTTACTTTTAAAAATATTAATTTTTGATAAAAAATAATTGTAGTTTTTAAGCAGTTAATTATATACTACTATATCTTACTTGGAAAAACGGTATAGCCCTTGTACCTCCAATGTTATGAAGATTTGGTATGTGGTTAATAAATTTTTCCAACAAAGACAATCTTAAAGTGTGTAAATGATTATTTATTTCAAAATCTTGGTCAAAAATTGTTTCTTCATCAATCTCTCCTCTATCATTTTGATTCTAAAAATATATTGTACAATACCAACATTATTTTAAACGGTTTAATTACACTGTCAAATAAATTATAATTTAGTAATTTCTAATTTTAGTAATTTATATCAATAACTGGGAATCTAATACTTACATTTTCTGTAGGAGATGTTCTCAAATTGCTACTTCCTGGAACAGCGTTTGTGTCTTCGTCATCAGAACCAGCTGCCGATGCAGTTGTATCACTCAAATGACCTTGTTGCATAGACTGTGTTCAGAACTCTGGCCATTATAATTATTTTGAGAGAATTTTCTTGCATGTTCTAAGAAAAAAATGTATTTTAATGCATATTTTAAAATTATAATTTTCATTTTCAAATACCTGTAATGCAGCAGGTGCATTTCCTAATGCTTGTAGTTCCTCAAATTCTTGCCTCATATTATTATCTAACTCTACATTATTTTCTATTCCGTCATTGTCCTATTAAAAAAATAATATAAATAAGCTATCAAATTCTATTTATGTATATTATTACTTGAAGACTAAGTGCAATAGCTAATTCGACCATTGCATCATCATCTGCGTCAGGTGGAATAATAAGACCAGGAAATTGAACATTTCCTATTAAAACTTCCATATTTTGACGATCATGTTCTTGTGGTTCAACTATTAAAATTTAATTAAATTTATTCAAGTGATATTTTTCAGTTAATTTAAAATCACAAAATCCAAAATATAAATTTTACTATTTAATATAAAAAAATAAATATTACCTCTTGGATCCAATAGAATGATTGGTTCATCAACTTCATATGAGATATTTTCTTCTGGAGATTCTTGAATAACTTGTTCTTCATTTTCAGGTTCTTTGCTAGATGATTCTTTTACTAGATCAAATCAAAACTATTATATATCAAATTACAAAAATTATATTTATTTGATTAACCTTACTGATTCCTTGAAAGAATGATCTCCACGAACTAAATTTTGATTATTCTTTCCAAAAACAAGAGGTTTTAAAGCTCTTGAAAGTGCTAATTTAGCAGTATAACTGACAGCTACATCTTCACATAGTAAGAAATCTAAGTAGTACTTAGATATAGTATTAATTTGAGAATTTTGAAAACCAGAGCACTTCAAAAATAAAAGAGAATGCAGAATTTCAATAAGTGCATAAACAACAGCTTCTGTATGTTTCAAACCTATATGGATTTAACACTTTATTAGCTATAATTATTAGCGAATATCATAAGTTAAACATTAGTTACATACCAGGTACATAAATTGTGCAATAGGATGGATTTTTAGGTCTATTATAATACAGTATCCAAAATACAGAAATGAGCTTTGAAATAAGTGGTTGACACCATTGTGATGATTGTTCATTATTATAATCCAATTCTGAAATAATTAATGATTAGTCCACCATATATCTTAGATTCTGAACGAATTAATGAGCAAACATATTTATACTCTATGGCTTTTTAATTTTTATCCTAAAAAAACACTTACATACAATAGGAAGTGTTGAACATTACTCTTTAACTTAATTTTTATTTTTAAATACCTTCATGATGAGTCCTTTCAAAGTTGGATAAATGTTGTGGTCGGCAAACTGTAATGCCTCGAGTAATTAATACAAGTCTATAGTAAGCTTCCGCATCCATAATTTTGGGATCCTCACGTTCGAAATCAAGTAAAGATTGTAATATATAAGTTAACATGGATTGATCCTATTTACAAAAATGTTATTAGTACTATGATGATTATTTTTAATAAATTATGTTTCTACTTTAAATATGTGATATTCCGGTTGTAAAACAGCCACTAATGATTTAGAATGAAGTTGAATACATGCTTGCGTACTATGATTGAGTAATTTTAGTGCTATGTTTACTGCTTAGTTTTATTAGATGAAAACTTTCATCCTCTTCGTTCAATGAGTGGTTGATACTATAAAAGCTATTTTCTAATATTGTCAACAATCCAATAACAAACCTAAAAACATTATTATAATACTTATAATATTATAAATAATTTTTTGTTCTAAGTACTTTATAAAATTTCAATTATATACTTAAGAAAAATTTAAAATTGAATAATAGTACAATGAAAGTAAATAGGAAATAGGAAATTATAAAATATTTTACTTGTCTAAATAATTGACAGCAAATCCAGTTAAAGGCAACTCTTTTTCTTGAGGATTAAATTGATTTGAAGTAACTACAGTACTAGTTGATGTTGAACCATAAATTGTACCACTGCTAATATCATCAACATCATCAGGCCATCCAAATGATTCTTTAGTTTTTCCATATCTTTAAAAAAATTATATGTATTTATAATATATGGTATTTTAAATATTATAGATTAATAATTATTTATTATCTGAAGAAACCAAATTTTAATACTAACAATTTTACAGAGTCTATCATAGTAACAGCTTCAGGATCTCGTGATGGGCCAAACACAATTACTAATTTTTTATCACTTTGAAGGCTTTCCTCTCTGGTTAATGGAAAATCAAACCATCGACTTCGGTTAATAGGTAACAAATGCAAAGTGCGTCCCAGCACTTCTATATAGCCAGGTGCACGTCCTATATCTTGACCTCCCACATTAATTCTAATTCCAGCCATTACCATTGTAGGATCATTATTAATAACTTCAATGCTAAATCGTGGTTTTGTAGACACAACATACATACCTAGTAATAATATTATTAAATCCATGAACAATATTATAAAATAGTAAATAAATAGTAAACACTATGTTTTAAATATAAATTTAATAGTAATAATGTTTAATTTATCATTATTCATTAAATTTCTTACCATTACTGTTCAGCCTATGTTTGATTTGTTGAGGATTATAAATTTGCAACAAATCATTACCACCAAATTCAATTTCATTCATAGCTACACAATATTCAAAGAAGTCAATTGGAAATGAAGAGGTATTTCCTATAAATTATAATATGTATAAATTATAACCATTATTTATTGTATTTGAATTTGTAGAGAATCATACCTGTTGATTTTCCAGATTTACTAATTTTCTTTTTCTTTAATTTACATGATGTTATGTGACATGAAGGCTGAATAGATGGTGATAACCAAAAATCTGAAACAATTAAAATAATGTAAATCAAGTTTTGTACACTTCAGATTGTTTATAGTTTAATTTCATAACATTTTTATTAAACTAACTTATCAGTAAAAATAATACCCAATATTGACTAGGAATAGTTAAATTACTATATGTGGATAAAGGATAAATAATTTTTTTAAATATATATACTCTATATACTTTGTTCAAGATAAGAAGAAACCTGAGCAGAAACCAATTTTTGTCTGCCAGCCATGTGTGGCATGGGTCGCTTCTTATTTTAAACAGAGTATACCTAGATTTCATAATGAGATTACACAATATTCACCTGTTTGCTCTTTAGCAGCTAAAAACATACGGAGACTACCATCTTCGCATAAAATTATTAATGTTGTTCTATAATCTCCATTTGACAAAGGGTGGCGTACAGCAACCATATCTGTAATCTTAGTTTTTGTCTGAGCCAACTTAATTTCTTGAAGACTGATAACTTTTGGTGTTATCATAAATACAACTGGAGTATTACCTAAATAAGAATAAAATGTAAATTTAAAGTTATAAAATGTTGATATTCTATAAGTAGTAAGGTACACTGTATGAAAATATTATGAAGAACATTCTTTTATCTATTTATGATTTATATTAACATTTATAGTAAGAGCTGTTGATAGCATGCATATCATACATAGTGGATAACTTGACTTATAAGTATTGTCATAATTGTCCATATATTTTATAGAAAAAAAAAGAGATACAATAACAAAACATATTTTGTACATGTCAATAATTTTAAACTTACTAGATTGTAGTATTGCACATACTAAACCAGGATGTCCAGGAACTTCAGACCACTGCCACATAGGTTGTGTAGGAGGAGCTGAAGTACTTGCCTGGCTAATGTTACTTTTATTTTTAGCACTAGGACTTGATGTTTGTGAATTTATTGCAAAAACTGGATGTAATGTAATGACACCACCTTGATATCTCTCTTCATCTAAAGGTGCTATAAATGTGCGCCCAGGAGTAACATAACTAAACATTAATAGTGACAGTGTATGCGAATAATACACCGATACACCACCTCCACAAACTTGGCCATTTACATCCTATAAGATAATTATAAAATCAAAACATTAATATACATAAACAATAAATATATATATAATTATATTATAATATTTGAAAAGTATAATATTATAATGAATATACTAACACTTATATCTGGATGGACAATATCAATAGTATTGGTCACATAAAATGGACCATGGACAGCTGAGCTACTTACATCCATATCTTGTGTATAGATATAACCCCCAGATGATATTAATATCATAGTTGACTTTTCCTATATCCAACAAAAATCTCTAATCATTAATATTTTTCACAAAATAAAAAACTCAATTCATCACAAAAGATGTTTTAATATATACGTTAGTTATTACTTTCAATAAATATTATGCATAGATTATTATTTTACCTCTGTACACATAAATGTCACGTCTCGTATTTTTCCAGTAGGTACAAGGAAATAATATTGAGGACTTAAAACATCCTTGGACAAATCATAAATTTTAACAAATTCAGCAGACACAAGTGCTAAACTAGTTTGTGACCCAGGGAGCCAAATCGATCGAATCATAAAATTTCCTACTTCTAAAGTTGGATGAAGAACAATGTGTTCATTAACTGTTCCACTTGTATTGAATGTCAAAATATGACAGTCCTGAAAAAAAAGTATTTTATGAATTAAATTAAATTAAAATTCCAATTTAATGACTAATGTCAATGTTCCTTATTTAATTGTTTAATATATAATACCTTTAGTCCACACACAGAAAGGAAGTCTTCATTAACAGAATTTGCAGTAACTGATAAAACAGTAAATGGGATAGAAACAGAGGATAGTCGTGTTAAAGTTAATTTGCGTTTAGATATATCAGACTGTTTTAACAATGAGCTCATTTGCAGAACTGCTATTTTTCCTTTGTCATGTGATACAGCAACTAAAGATAAAAATAAAACATTAATACAAATTGAGATATAATCTATCTCATAATTGAAACTTTAATAATAATTACCTAAATGTTGTCTTTTACCATGAAGAGATGATAAACAACACATTGCAACACGTCGTATCATATGGGCAGAAAGAAGCTGTCGGATAGTTTGACCTTGATCTCCACTAAAATTCATCTTAACATTTTCAAAAGCACCTTCTTGAGATCCCATTGTAGGTAGCTATAAATAGTGTTTTAATAATATTAATCATACTGTTAGTTAGAAAGAATAACTTAATTTTTGGAAAAAAAAAATTACCATAAGACTATCTGATACTTCAATAGTTTTTTCTAATTCCTGTAAGTCGTTTAATGTATATACAGCTCTAGTATTACAACCAATTGCTGAATTTTTTTCACCAGATTTAATAACCACGTTTATTAATTGTTGACAAAGATCTAATGTTGGCTCAATAATTTGAGAATGATCCAATATTGTTGGCATTAATAGATTCTTATACGTGGCTAAAAATCAAGAAATTAATATTAATTAATGTAAATAAATTAATAAATAAATGAAATAACATTGAAAACAAATACCAGGAAGTGAATCCAACACGACAGATTCATAATCTAAACTTCTTGTGCTCATATGTCTTGGATCTTGATTATGATTAGGAGCAGACGTGCTATGACTATCTATGCGATCTTGATCTGTAGCTGAATTTCCGCCTTCAATTGAAGCTGTTTTATCTCGTGGATTATTTACATCAAGGATTGAGTTAGGATTTCTTTTAATTAATGCCTATTGAAACAGAAATGTATCTTATATCACAAAAAAATTGTTTAAAAAAAAAAAACTTTTAAATTCTTGGTAAATTTATCAATGAGTAATTAATAAACAAAAAGTTATAAAAATGTTTAATAGTTAAGGAGAGATAAAATAACATATAAAATGAATGAAGTTTTAAAATGTTTACTTGACAAAAATTGTTTTCTTTTGCCCCACAGTCACAGAAAAAGTTTCCGAATTTAGCGTAAGTAACATCATGGCCTCTGTGGCAAACCTTAGCACATATACTACAAACTCCAACACCTTCTATCATCTTACACGTATGACAATGATACCAATGTTGATTCATAAACTCTTTTTGAGTAACAGTAAATGTACAAAGTCTATAGTATAAACTATCTTCATCCTGAAAAATCATAAAATGTATTTATTTAATAATTATTTAAAAAATTTAAGTCAACAATGTTGTATTTGTTTAAATTATTAATACTTACAGAATCTTCATTCAAAGTTTCACTGTCGCCATCATTATTAGGTAAAAATCCATCAAACTCCATACCATCATAATAGAATAAAGACATGGAGTCTAATGATGGAGATACAGAGTTTTCTAAATCATTATGTTGCATAGCAGCTATAATATCCGATACGTAATTCATCAAGCAACTAGATGCAATCACAACTGGTGGATATGATTGTTTGGGTTCAGTTATTTCTATATTTGCCATGTTAGATTTAAGCCAATTTTTAATAGAATCAAGTAACTTAACACTAGCTTTAAATAACTTCACATGGCCAGAGGGACCTCCATAATCTGCTAAGCGTACCATCTGAGCAAACATTTTTGAAAACCCATCTCCATTTTCAAAAGCTAATGTGTAAGTCACAATTGGTATTAATGTTTCTAGATAACATAATGAAGCTTTGGTTTTTAATTCATCATTTCTGTAGAAAAAAAAATAATTATATATTTATAATGAAAAACAAATTATAATTATTTGGGCATTTTTTGAAAAATACTATATTGATAGATTTAACAAACTTTATTTAAATGAGATATGTACTGGATTATAGTGGAAAAAAAATTTTGATTTGATTTGATTTAATATATAATAAACAATTAAAATAAAACAACTTTCTCAGTATAAAACAATTAATTTAATACCCCTTATTTAATGTGTACATACTTAATAATTTTAAAATAAAACAAAACAAAAGGAGGGAAAGAAGGTATTAAACACTCTGTTGTACAGTAGGTGCAATTATACCTCATCATTGAAGAGTAAGTTACTGTAATGGGTGTGTTAATTTTATATATTAAATTTTATCATTACATACAAAAAAAAATTCTGAGTGAAGACTGTTTGTCAGCTATACCTATTACTAAATATATTTGTTGATGTATTATTTATATTGATATTAAAGTAATATTTATTTTACTATAAGTAATACAGTAGATTTAATTAATTTTTTGCCAAAAACTACACTGCATTAGAAATGTTACTGTGTGTATAAACTATCATATATGATGCTATACTTTAAAGTTAAAGGTACTAACTTATTATATTTTTAAATACAATAACACTTAAAATGTCTATAAAAAAAATATTGTTTATACTATATAATATATAAGTTACAGTATGAGCTACTTATGAAAACCTGGCATTACATTTTCAAAGCTTAGGTATGAATACAATGGCATTTGTTGTTTTCGTCTTACAAATGCATAAAATAACAAATTGTACGCTCAGATAAAGCAAGTTATGAGTATTCTGAGATGTACAAACAATTAAGAATTTTAAAATACTCATAGCTCCCTTTAAAATTAAAAAATAATTAAAAGCCAATAAGATTGATTAGACACTAATCTTACCTTTAAATTTGATAAATTCTAATTTGAAATGAACTCTAATTTTTAAACTAACTGAGCTACACGAGTTCTGCTGATCTTACAAATTGCTATATTATGCACTTGTACGATGGAGACAAAAAATGTCGGTGTAACGTCCCCTTAAGATAGTATATTACAGTTACCAAGCATTTACAGTGTTCTGGTTTTTAAATTTTATTAATGGTTTTTACCTAATTGAATATTATTAATCCTAATTTATTGAACAAATCATTGGCACAAATTTCAGGAGACTAAGCGGCTTAGCCCATTAAATATCTCATTAGACCCTTCCAAAAGTTTTTTAGTTGTGTAGGATCGGAGCCCCCCACTCACATTGATGTTAAAAATGTTAGCCCCCCTAGAAGTTTTAATGGATTTGCGCTTATGGGTCCCATACAACTTAAAATAAGAGGGTAAGTGGGTGTCAAAAGTGAAAATTTCATGTATATTACTTTCAGGTTATTTGTTTTAGAGTTACACCAAAAACCAAATAAATTTTTTCAAAAACCAAAATCGATTTTTGTCAAAAACTGATTTTGAGTAAAAATTACCGTTATTCCTTAATTTTTCTTATGTTTTTCCCGACAAACTACGGGGAAATATTTACTTTTGATCCTCCCCAAAGTACCAATCAATCTCAATAATTCTTTTTCAAATTAATAAAAAATATTTTTTGGTTCATAACTTGTTAGAAATACACAAAATGAGGTGAATTCTATAGGTTCATTATTTTAATTTTTATTGCTTTTTTTGGGGCTCTGACAGTGATGATAGACAGAACATTTTTTTAAAAAAACATGTTATTTTAAAATCAATACATTTATCACTCAAAATAGTTAAGAGCCTCATATTTGCGCATTTTCTTTGTCAAAAACTACTGTTGTGAATTCCATTGACACGTCGATAATTATCACAATTTTTATTCTGAAAAAATATTCACATCTCCGTAATATGTACGAGGGATTGATTGAGCCACATTTTAAATTTTTGTAATTTAGATGGCAACGGATATTATTAAAATTTTCGACATTTTGCAATATTCAAGCTTAAATATTTCATCAACTAAATACAATTATAAAAATGTGCCTCGAACGACCACTCGTACATGTTGTGGAAAATTATAATATTTTGACAAAATGCAAATCGAGGGAACCCTTGCGGTGTATTGTTGGAATTAGAACTGTCTGTTTGAGTGAAAATAAAATTTTTTTTCGCTATCACAAAATTGTTATAAGAAATGTCTGTGAGAGATCTCTCCATATCGCTACCGCAAATATCAATATTACCAACACGTCGCACTTCTAGATAAATCAGATGTGGGTTACTGCTACTATTGATAATTTACAACTATTACAACGACAGAGCCGATTTCCGAATCTATAAGAATTTGCCCATAAAATGTTTCTTAGAATCCAGTGGTATTGAGGCCCCTTAATATTAATAAATTGTATAGGTAATATAACACCATTATTTTACTTACGTATCTAATCCAACAATATAATCAATCATATTCTTGATCAATTCAAAATTTTCTTCAAGATCAATTGAAGCCGATATATTGTTGATAAAATGTTTTATTGAATTGGTATGTTTATCACTCAAAAAAGCAGTTAATTCCCGGGATAAAGTACTAGTAGCATCAATTAAATCTTTATCTTTGTTCCAACCAACAATAATTCTTTGTAGCCAAAGATCCAATCTATTTTTCGGGTCAGTTGATAATTCAATAATTGTGCGGCACATTGTTTTAATATCTTGATTATTACTTATTTTAACTAAAAAATAAAAATAAATGTATACAAAGTATAAAATTACTGTATGATTTCTATGTGGCTTACGATTTGAGAATAACCGGTTGGTTAATCTAACAAGTGTTTTAACAAAGACTCCAGATGAAATAAATTTCTTCATTGAAATACCTTCTTTAAGCGCATTTCCACAAAATGTTCGTAGAACAGCATATCGGGCAGATGAAAAATCAAATATTAATTGTTCAATCCAAAAAAGACTATGTATCAAAACTTTCTCAGTTAAATAATCTCTAAAGAAAAATGAATCAGAAATAATTAAGAACAAACCAATATAATAGATAATTTAAACTTAATACAAATAAATAATTTATCTCACGTGTTGGTAGTATCATCGCGTTTATATTGAATTGCTAATTTCCTTATATTTTTACTTATAAGCATGGATATCATAGTAGCTGGGTCCTGATCTCCAGGATTTTGTAATTTCTCCAATGTAGGAATAATATGTTCCAAAAGATTTTCTGATGAACAGTCAATGATCATGGAACTCAAAAGATTTGCGAAATCAGATCGTAATTTACAATCACTGCATAATCTAAATAAATTAATAAATATATTTGATATATAAAAATAAATTTGGTCTTATGAAAATTAATATCATTAATGGGGCTGGAGCGTGATTCATTTTCGGTCGAAAACATAGGTCACGACTTCAATCACTAAGCCCAACATAATGTTCCGATATTAATTTTGAAAGCAGATTTGAATTTGCCACTAAATTATCTATGCTTTGACATTTTCATTTTTATTTTACTTAGAAATTTACTTACAAAAATAGTAAAAATAGATCATATTCATAATTAAAATTTAAATACATTGATATAGATTATGAAAAATGTATGATAGTTAAAGCATAATAAATTTAGATGAGAATTCAAATCTGCTTTCAAAATTAAAATCGGAAGATTCTACTTTCTACTGAGCGTAGTGATTGAAGTCAGTGGCAGCGTTGAAAAAAAATGTTTGTAATTTTATAAACCAATATAATTAATAATATATGGTGACTTGTGGATGCACATAGGTAAAATGACAAACATACCGGACACTATGATGCCCCTATAAAGTACTACAAATTTCATACACTAATGTTCATTTACTTTCAACTCATTCACAAGACCCGGATAAACAGTAATATAAAATTCCTAGTTTTTACTCCTTAGAATTGATTAAGCTCCAGCATCCTTAACTAACATTTTCTTTCCTATTAAAAAATAATTAAAATGTTTAAAATGTTCAAAAATAAACTTACTGTATATTTTCTGTGATAAATACAACGAGTGTATTAAGTAATCGTTTTAAGGATGGGGTGTTCAAATATATTGACTGACTGGAGACAAAAGATAAATGATGTTTTATGATATTTTGAATTAAATATTCCGGTGAAGTATCCAAACTAGAGTTCTATAAAATTAAAATTAAAATTAATAATGATGATAAAACACATTTGTATACATTTATATAATGCATAGAGTTCACTATAAAGAGGTGCATGTAAATTTCACTGATTTTCAGGTAGTCAATTTTAAACATGTAAATTCCACCAATACATTTTTTGACCAGAATAAATGTCAACTCTAGCAGTATTAAATTAATGTTAAATCCACAATTATTATAAAAAAAAAAATTTAAGCAATAAAATTATAATCTACGATCTAGGTCATGGAACGTGTTGTTACAATTAATTTTTGCATTAAATTTGGAACAAAAATCTGTCATTAGAATCAAAATTAGTTTTAATTTCAAATATAAAAATAAAATAGGTCAAAAAATAATATTGGTTGTTTACATTTATTTTACAGGTAAAGCGTTGTCAATTAGGTTTACATACATTTGACAGACAATAAAATCGAACAGATGGAATTTACATACAAAAATAATTAACATGCGTTAACTTATTTTTTGAGTTTAGATATTTTAATTTGAAAAGTTTGCAATGTAATTATTAATTTCATTTCAATAAAATAACAGAATAAAAACTACAAAAATATGATCATATTATAATAATGACAAAAGATGATAATCATATAATCAAAATTCTTTTATTTTTGATAGTAGTATGAAGATAGTAAGCCAGAATTTTCTGTGACAAACTCCACAATCCTCACAAAAATGGTAGATTTTTACTTCAACTATAATATCATTATCATCAGTTAGCAAAAATTATGATTTATAGGTATGAAATCTACCCCCCTTCGCACACCTAAATAAGTCGTTAATACAAAATTGTTAAATTATACAAAACTACAAACCTTCAACAGAGGGCCAATAGGAACTGAATTCCATTTTGTTAAAATTGATACAATCCACGATGGAATCGTTTCAAACAATAAAGAAGGTAAATTGTAAGTGATTGGAGAAAACTCTAAAGATGAATTGTTATTTGTCATTGACAAAATTATTTTCAAATTTGTTAAATCACCCATTGAATACTTCTGAGTTTGGTTCAAATTAGAAATTTGATGGAGAAGGTTATTTCTGTAATGTATAAAATAAAAATATTTTATTAAAAAAACTGAATCATGACAAATTTTTATATATTATAGTTTGATATGAAATTGTAATTTATTTATTTTAAGATTGTAATTAAAATACATACTTAATATTGGTAAATGTCAACATAGCTAATTCAATACAATACGGCATTAGTACTTGAATATATTCAGTATTAGAATCACTGAAAATTGAAATAATATCATGTACAAATTTGTAATTAAAAATCATATTAAGTTGTTGAAAAATTATTACTTGGAAATTTCTTCAGGTGTTTTTCCTGGTTTAAATTGTATATACATTTTTGAAATAACAGCATCAAACAGTATAACATCCAATAACATTGGAAAGCTATTTTTTTTTGTAGTATCTGTATTTGTAAAAAATATTGGTTTAATATGAAATAAAATATTATGAGTTTTTGAGATAGTAGTAATTGTTTTAAATTTGTTTGATAACAGAAACTAAAAAATAAATACCTGTTTGACGAAGTTGTTGAATAAAATGGATTTCTGCTACTTGATAATCATATTGTATTGTTGAAGCTACTGAAGATACTAATTTCAATAATTCTCTAGAACATAATTTATCGTTTGTATCTGTAGGATTTTCATTGCTTTCCAAAGCACAAATTTGTTTGTACAAGCCTTCCTGAAATTCATTTATTTTAAGAAAATTAAATTTAGAAGTAAAAAATTAACATTAATTAATAATTGTCATACTTGGCATTCTTATAACGTACTTATTTATTTATAATCAACTATAAAATATTTACCTTTAAAAAATGATAGTAAATTTTAGAACCAGTTCTAGGACCCCAAATTAAGAAATATAACAAATTTGACGAATCAAATCCACGAGTTTTTTCATTCATCATGTCTTGTATTTTTTGAATAGGAACAGGTAATGATAATAATAGCCTAACATAATACATAAAAAAAAAATTAATTATAATACTAGAAATTTTTTAAAAATAATATTTTAATATGTACATACTTCCATGCAAGCGTAAAACAATATTCAATGCTACATAGGGTTAACGGATTTGAATATTGGGAGATTTTATTTTCAATTCCATTGTCATCTACATAAGACTCATTACATATATTTAATGTTGTAGTTATATCCAAGAGGGCTTCTATTAATTGAGGATAGCTTAACTTTTCTGGATGGTTGAGTATAAAATTAAGGGCCTGAAAACATGAAATAGAATATTTTAATTTTAAATTGAAGAAAATATTTCACTAATTTTTAAATATTATACATATATATATATATATATATGTATTATGCATTTACCAATCCATCCAGCTTAGGAGCATCATTTACAGCTTGTTTCTCATCCAATAGCTTATAAAAACAAGGAATTACAGCTGTCGAGCACCCAACACTATCCGACCTTCTACGAAAGTTTTCTTCTATTGTGTTATATAGCATGTAAGTATTTTCATCAGTTGTTTGTACTTCATCACCATCTACTTTTATTTCACTTTTAATGCGCATCAAGTTCCATTCAACCTAGTATTATATAAAATGTAGACTTCCATTTTTAAGTTAAATAATATATATTATAATACCTGAGATAGTAAATATTCAGGTACATCATACAATCTTCGAACTAAGTAGTCGAATAAAAGAAGTAATCTACTTAAAGCTAAAATATGATTGTTGTAAACCGGCTTCAAAACACATTTGGCACCTACAATAGTATTACAAATAGCTAATAGAATTCCTTTTTTATGGGTTAACGACATTAAGTTGAACAAAAATATTAATAGCTGTGTATGTTCCACATTCAAATCTGAAATTAAAAAAAAAATACTTATTAGATTTAATTTTATTGTTTTAAATCTGAGAAAATACTAAATTACCTTCAAAATCATTATTACTACTTTGAGGGCGATTAATTATACTGCTCAATGCATTAATCATATTTTGCCATATGTATGTAGATAATTCATCTCTTTCTGATATGTGTTTTTTTAATAAAACCTTAGAGAAGTATAATTTATATTATATAAATAAATTAAAACTTTACGTAATAAGTATTTGATTTGTATAAAATATTTACTTGAGCTAATATTGATAAAGTTCTAGGATAGATTTGTAATGACCATTTACTGCCTAAAGCATCTAAAGGTATTTTTATCCCTAATAGTTCAAGGAATACATCTTGTTGTTTTTCTGATAAGTAATCTCGAGCAATCAAATTATGAATAAATATTCCAATAGATGAAGAAACATTTTGGTGAGAGTCAACAATGGAAGCTAAAAATAAATAGGTACATATATTAAAAGAGTTTATAAGGTATAAAATTAATATTTAAGATTTAATTAAAGCCAAAATTATTTTCACTTAAAATAAAACTACTACTTACATAAATCATTATTAACAGGTGCCCAGTCTACTTCTCCGATCAATTTAGCTAATACAATAAGGTTATCAGTTTGAATTGTTTTAGACATATAAGTGAAAATGTAATCACACTCAGCATTTAAGAAATATATGTCCAATACATTGAATATTCTTATTATTAGTGCTAAATACTGTAAACCCAACACAAAAATGTAAATTAAAATAATTAATTTTACTATTTATTATTTAACAAATATATTTTTTAAATAAATACAAAATTATATTTTACCCCTTCTGGATCATCATTATCGGGGACAACACTATAATTTGATTGATTTAATACACTTTTATCTAAATCCATATAATCAGATGCTTGTGTTTTAGAGGACACATTTTCAATTTGTTGATCTCCTGAAGTCAGTACTTCTTCAAACCAAGCACCAAACAAAGACTCATTATCTTCATCTATAATCAAAATAATTAAATTTAAAAATATGATTCACAGCGATGTAACATCAGTGGCGTGGATTGTGGAGTCAGAGTTTTATGGGGTGGGCAAATGATAACATATAGGTAATAATGAGGAAAATTACAATTATGGCCAATTGTTTTTAAAACTTATACCTGTACAGTTGTATATTATGACAAATGTTCTTACAATTAAATAATAGATAAAAAAGAAATGTAGTTTAATTTAATAAGTATTCAAAATCAAGAAAATTATCAAATTATTCTGTAGTTAAAAAATGCATGGGCATGTTAGGGCGTATGGAAGATTCAAATGTTGTAGAACTCAAAGATAAAAAAAGTTCAGAACACCACTAATTTACACATTCGATTGTAATTTCAACAGTCAGATCTTCCATTTACACCTTGTATATGTAATAAATTACCTGCATCTTGAGGTGCTCCACTTTCGGGTGTTCCAGGCAACATATCTATTGATTCCAAACTTATAGTGCGATTTATCTTATTTTTATTTTTATTTAATACAAGACACATTACCTATTTTAAATATTTAAAAATCAATTAATAATCATAAAAATTAAACCCAAAAATAGTTAGTAAGACACATTATTAAATATTTATCTTAAAATAATAAGTTTTAACCTACTATTAACCAATAAACGTAATAATTTAATTGTAAAGTTTTTTAAAATAATAACCAGATATAAATATAATTCTCAAAAAAAAAAAAAATATAAGTGTTACAATTACTTTTCGATGACTTATTGCTGCTAATTGATAAAAGAATTTAATCAAAGGTACAGTTTGAAAAATTCTGAGAAGTCGACCACATGCTCTTGCCTTAGCACAGATATCCAATGGAGCTGGAATTATTTCAGATTCAAAGTCAATAAGTTTCATAAGTTGATCTGAAGATGATTCTTTTCTTGCATTTTCCAAAAGTTCAACAATCATAGTGATCATTTCATTTGCTAATGCCACTGATAAAACATTGAAAGAGCTAAAAAAACATTGAAATGATATAATTTATTTGTCATTGCCATTTCCATGCCTTGAATTATATATTTAATTGAACGATTTTATTTTTTAATATAATAATAGAACATATTTTAGAGTCAGCTTTGAGCTTTAATCTTTAAATTTTAAAAATCATCATTCATTTAAATTATTATATGCAATGGTATATTTTATGTAATTTTTGCACATAAGAATGTGTCAATGTGTTATAATAAATAGCTTTAATTTTCACAAAAAAACAACTGCCTCTTAAAAGGACGTTATAACCTTCTTATAAAAGTATGACATATTAAAATGTGTGTTCAGCAATTCCAAATTTTTATAATTAATAATTATTAATAATACAGATATTAACCTACTATCAAACTTAAGTATCTGTTCTTTCTCAACGGTTTTATTTAAGAATGTTAAGAAAGTTAAGAGTATATAAAATATTACAATTAAAATCAATAACGTCATAACGCCTAAGAATTAAAATAATGTAAAACGCCAGGTAATTTTCTGATCTTAAAATTTTTTTTTTTTAATAGGTCAATTTACTTTATGACTATTACCAAAGTTTACTACACAAGATTGGAACTGCTGGACATACATTTTGTATGTTTTAAATTCGTAAGACGGAGACGACACATGTGGATGTTGTATATTCTTAGGCCGGTATCACACTTGTAGATATTCGCAATGGACGTTCTGTGGCAGAATTTCCACAATAATGTAACATACTGCAGCAAATTTCTGCTCTAGTATGTGTCATGTATTTAAAACAATGTGTTTTGATATTTGAGGAATCCAATTTTTTGTTAGGGATATTGTGCATTTGTGATACAAGCCTTAAGGTTAATCATTGTACTGTATTATAGCACAAAATACAAATATTACATTTATGGGTTTTAAGGTAATATATATCACCATGTTTTTTACACGCCTTGTTATTTGCCAAATTTAATCGTTTCATAAACAGTATTATGGGAGTACTCAAAATATTGTTTCAAACATTCTTATGAAACTTGTGTTAAGTTGATAATGTAATTATATAACTTAAAGCCAAATCCCTTAAGACGATAATTATGATTTTTAGTAAATACATTTTTTTTGCATCTCATTGCATCAATAATTATCCTAGTTATACCATTAATCGATGTTAATAAAGAATGTAACACTTACTTTTTTGCAGTTGGCTTTGATATTTCTTTTTTAGTTTTAGTGACTTTATCATCTTTTATTGAGTTATTTTCATAATTTTTCATTGTAATATCTTGAAGGCCATTAATAAGAATCCAAATAACAATCATATAATAGTTTTGATGCACCTATAATATTAGATAAATATAAAAAGGTCAGTTCTATTGATTAAAAAGCTTAATATATATATATATATATATATATATTAAATATAAGCTGTTTGAATAAAAGGTATTAATATAAAATAATAAAAACTTACAGAATACGAAAATTTTTTTAGTATATCAGATACTGTTTGCATAATAATGACAGTTTTTTCAATTGCCTGAACAGCTTGATTCCACATAACATCATCTTCAATATTTATGCTATCTATAAATTCTCAAAATATATTTATGCTTTTAAGACAAATTCAAAATCCAACTGACCTGTACTTGTTGAAGAGTTATTATGAACACTTTGCACAAATAAAGCAAGTCTGAGACAAGCTGTCATAATACTTGTAAGTTGTTGTAGACACACAACAGTTAATGGTTCAAATATTGGTAATGCTAATGCATTTTCAACAAAAGTCATATCCAAAAGCACAAATCTATACCTTAAAAAAAAATTTTAGATGTTTATTACTTTAATTTTTTTAACATCTATTAAAAGACATTCCAATTATTAAAATAGGTAATTACTCATTACAATACAAAAATAGCTATAAATAGAAGTCATAAAACTTTTTTTTCCCTGTTTATGTTTAACGATTTTTATCAAAAATTTTAGTTTAAGACTGGGGGGTCTCCATTTATTATTTTTGTCTTAAAAGGGTACAACATTAAAAATTTGGATTTAGCAGTTTTAATAGTTTTAATATTAGAGTGAATACCAGTGAATTAAAATAACAACATTGTATTCTGTTTTTCTGATATTTTAATTTTGAGGCAAGTTATGAGTATTTTTAAATAATTGTAATATTTTAAACACAAATATTAAACTATATTTCAAATAAGTTTGGGAAATTTCTCAGCCTCTAAGTGGTAGGACCATTGTGATTAGACAGTAGTCGGCAGCCAACAAGACTGTAATTGTTTAAAGTATTTTATGTACAATTGTTTCTAGTTTCTTGTATGTAGTTCAATAAAATCTCTATCTCATAGCTTCGAATAGTGTAACTTCCCAGTAAACTTTTTTTACTTAAAAGAAGAAAAACTTGTGTGGAATTTTTAATTTCTAACTGAAAAATAATTTGCATATTTTTGGGGCTTTGATGAATTCTGTCAAAATTTGAACTTTAAATGCATATAAAAAATAATCATGTATCTTTAATATTTTTGATCAGCTATTAAAGCATCATATGAGACCAGTTGCATTTTCAAGCTTTTCTACTGAGTAAAAATATTTTTATCATGAATAATTTTCAAAAAATTTCTCAAGGCTATTAGGTCGAAAATAGTCAAAATATATATATACCTATAGACAGGGAAATGCCCTGAAATGCTAATATAAATATTTGGTGAAAATTTCAAGGGATCCACAGTTATTAGTTTTTGAGTTACACTCAAAAAGATAAATTCGATTATTTCAAAAATTGGTTTTTGTGTAAAAATTACCACATTTTTTGGTTTTTCCTGACACATCCGTTAACTAATGGGAATTTTCAATTTTGACCTCTCAAAAGTACCAACTATCAGAAAAAAAAGATTATGCAGAAAATCTGAGTATTTTTAACAACCTAAACATTGATGACAGACAAAAAAATCTCTCATCGTTGTAAATACAATACATTCATCGCAATTCTTAGAATCTAAAAAACAGTACTAATAGTGGGAGTTAAGGGTGTTGCTGTGATTTGCTATCATTGTCTAACACATGTGGAACATAGGAATAAAAATTCAAAGTTAACTTGTATACCAATTCAAACATCTTTTCATTTTTAAATTGAACAACTAGAAGTATCTTAATTTTTGTCAGTCGCTTAGGTCGTTATTCCTATATCCAATGTGTGTTAGAGAAAGACAGAAAATTACCTCATCCAACACCCTTAAATTATTAAATTTAAGTGGATACTTTTCGGATTAAATTTCTAGTGAATGTTTAGGTATTTCTAAATGTTTAATTTTAAAATATAACATTTGTCAGTATATATTGCTAAGGGTTGGGTCGAACTCAGTAGTTTAAGACATGAATTAGTGAACTACAAAGATCTTATTGCTGGGTTATAATTTAAATAACAACAGATTTACTAAAAACATAATAAAGGTATATTTAACTATTTACTCACGAAATCTTAGCACCAGTTGATTCAGTAGCATGTTGAATATTCTGTTCCTCCGTAGAATTCAGTTGAATTTCTGTGATATATCTTTTAAGAATTGGTAGTTTAGTGCAAGTTTTAAAAATTACATTATTTGCTCCCATATCTTGTAAAGCAGATATATTGTTCTTAATTAACAACTTCTATTTATTGAAAAAAATTAACATTTATATTAATTATATTAGTATTTCAAATTCAATGAGATGAAATAAAATACCTTGATATCCTTTTCATCTTTTTTCAAAGAATCATTTAAGCGAATTTTACTTCTATCTAGTGGTCTAATCATTTGTTCAGAAATTGATGAGTAAGCTAGAGATTTTTTACTTTCTTTCTCTTTTTCTTTTTCTCCTAAAAATAAATAGGTACAAGATTATTTTTAATAACATTTATAAAAAAAAAAAAAAAATATATTATTTTTAAATACCGAAAGTTGGTGCATTAGATGGCCATTCTTTTATACACATTACAACAGACACAAATTCTGAAGTATTCAACGGCTTTCCAGAACATAATGCTGAAATAGCTGCCAATGCTAAATTTAAATGAGATGAGTAACTATCCCAATTATTATCATTTGCGTCAACTTGTCCCATGTATGTTAGAAGGAATTTCAAAAGAACTTTACAGCTCTTGCTAACTGTAGATAACTCATTTTTTTGAACTATGAAAAATAAATAATAAATTCAATAAATATTAATACTTTTTTAATATAAATAAAATTTAAGGTAGTATTACATATATTACAATGACGACCGATGTAATTGGCGGCTAATGTGAAAAAATAGAAGTAAAATTTGTTCTCGTTGACGTCATGTTCACTCAAACATTTTTCACTAGAAGAAAAAATATATTAGAGCTAACATTTTGACATTATATTCAAATAAATTATTAAAAGTAGAGTAACAATTAATTAATAAGTACTTTTATATAATTATAAACAAACCTTTGATCAATAAATTTAAGCAAAGTATACAAATTGACTTTTGCATTGGAACCTGTATCGTAAAAAACAAATTTTACAGACGTCCAATCCAAATCAGTTTTAGAAGCCATTTTTGGTGTATTGTATCCGAAACAACTACACAGTCATTTTCATTTTGGTTTAGGACCTATAAACTACAAAACACATATTTTATCAAACAATACTAAGTCATAGTTTAATGAGTGTATGCAATGTAAATTGATGCAAACGTCATAATTATAACAGTGACCAAGTGTCTATACCAGATATGAATCAATGAAATAACATTCAAGACTGCAATTTTAAACTGTTATCACAACAATGTATGTACTTAAAACAATGACATGGGTATATTACAAATGCGATAAATTGAATTAGTATACAACCATGATGACCTGAATCACTTGAAATAATAGTACGCCGTCAAATATGACGATAATTACGAACTGTATATATAAATATCCGTACGCATATACATGTACACCGTACTAGTAAAACGCTATTAAAATGACTTGGCAAGTTAATAATAATACCACTATCATTGTTGTTTAAATTGAAATACGCATTGAACTTTGTGCGATTCCGTTCCGGAATACTTACATATGATTATTGTCTAAAACACTACTCGACAAACAACAAGATCACATGGTAAATCTCACAAATCCAGTGGAACTTTACATATTATTATTTATTACTCTACTTTATTGAAAATTTCGATCAAGAATACACCAAAAACAGACGCGAATTCTGCGAAATCAAGACCAACTGATTTGTGATTTTACATTCCAGCCCTCGACATTTATTTGGTATAGGGTTTCAGTACACTACCTTGGTACAAAATATATAAGTTGATACTAGTGATTACAAAACCGGAAACCAACTTTAGCTCCAAACGACATACTTTCGCAAAGTTATCATTACCACAAACATTTTAAAATTTGACAATGTCACTATGTGACTATGTGACTAATGTCACTATTAAAGGATATTTTGATTTAAATCATTTATAAATCAATCAGTTCTAAAGTTATAGCACAGAATAGATCAATAATTAATTAGTAGCCAGACCTCAGATCAATAAAAATAATAAATATGTGATAATATAGTTATAATTATAACTTAAGCAAAGGTGGACATTATTACACTAATTTGTTAAAAAGTTATTTTTTTAACTTAAGGCTAGGTGCCGATGCCATTTTGTCCTCAAAAATACACTCGGCGGGAATAACGATACCGCCTTGTAAAATCAACCAAATTTCATAATTTTTTTTTTAATTGCTAGAGAGAAATATTCTACAGCCCGCATCGATCTCTGTTTTTCAATATTTTATTCTCAAACTTTATAATATGTCTAAAAAAATACAAGATAAAAAGAATTTTTTTACAATTTTTTTAATACAATTATTTGAAATAAAATACAAAATCAGATGCGGGCTGTAGGAAGTCTTCTTCATCTTTCAGATAAAAAAATAGTCATCAAAATGACAAAATCCGACAATTCTACAAAGCTTGAGAGTTATTCCCATAAAGTAATTTTTTCGATATAATACACCCTATCAACCCCCCCTAAATAGGTATCGGGTAGTAAAAAGATTAGTGGAAAAGTATTATTATAATTAAGGTGGCAACTAAAATATAAAATTTTATAGAATTGTGGAAAATTTGAAAAACTAGCACCGGGACGCCGCGGGACCCTTAACTAGGTATACCGTGTGTAACAGAAAGAACTGACCAAAAAAAAAAAAAAAATGATGCTACTTAAATGTATGACAAAAATTGTTGAAATTATATGATTAGTAAATAGTTTTAAGAATATACCCATGTTATAAAATTTCCAAAAATAATATTTTTAAAAAAGCTATTGCGTTCCAAATTTATTTTATCAAAAAAATATTGATATTTAAAAAAATTCTAAAAAATAAACTACTAGACTTAGATAAATGTTTTTACCATCCAAATCGTTCTTAAAATCAGATTCACAAGTTTGCTATTTTGAATTTATTCAAAAAATTTAAGTCAAATTTAAAATTTTTTATTTTTAGTATAAAAAATAAAAATAATTTTTTTCCTCTTACACGTGTAGAGCAAGTGGCTATAAATTATATATAAAAAAAAAATTAAAAATAATGATCAGAACAAAAATTATTCCAAAAGTCAGTTCTATCTGTTACACCCTGTATATAGGTAGTTAGTTATTTTTTTTTTAACTTTTTAACTTATTTAGTTAAAATATTTATTGTTGTAACTTAACTTTTTATAGTTGATTATTATTGTTATATGCTGTTAAGTTAAATTTTCTTTTCGTGTTATGCTGAACCAACTAGACAATAGTACAATACGGATTCGGTAACTCTTTTTCAATTTTGGTCATTATTTTCTAATTATGTATTATAAGTTATAACAATCTAATTTTTTACACAGTAGTGTTGAAACGTCTTGAAAATGTACCTGGAAAATATGTTTGTGTAAATCAAAATACTAGGGCAGTTTATGACTAAGACTTATTGTAACTTGTAAAAAATTAACTTTCTTATAGATGGATGTAGGTACTATATTCAGGTATATACCTAATAGGTATTAGGTAACAACTTCTCATCAAACGATTTACTTATATTTTGTTAAAATTCAAAAACGAGCAATCCTATAAGTCCTATAGGTACTTGAAATTTTCACGAAATATTTATATTAGTATTTTCAATGCATATGGTATAATTTTCAAAATATTTTGTCTGAAATATTTTTAGATATATTTATTATTTATACTTTGGGAAAAATATTTTAAAAAATTATCTTGAAAAGAATAAGACCAATAATAAAATCACAGAATAAAATACCTCACTCACAATTTGGTTTCAGAACTAATCATTCAACAATACACCAAATCTACCGTCCCACTGACAAAATAGCATCCTCTTTTCAATCCGTTCTTATCTTCTCAACCTCTCCATATTTTCCAGTATTTGCTGGAGTCTCGCAAGGTAGCGATCTCTCCCCTGACCTGTTTAATATATATACATCAGACATCTGACAAAGAAGCTGGTGTCGTGATCTTTTATGGTTAAAAAAAAAATCAATAAATTATGTTGAATTTAAATGTGAAGGGTTCTATCATTGGATGGCCTCCCTTATCCTGGGGGGGGGGGTTGCAAGGTGTACATTTGCACCAACTTTTTTTTAAAACGCCTTCTTTGGCCTGCCAACAATAAATAAAGCGCCGATATACCTAAGTTTTTTATATTATATATATTTTATTTTATATTTTTCAGTATTAAAAAAAAAATGTATTCTACTCATTTTTAATATCCAAGAAAATTTGATGTGGTTATCTGGTCCCACAATATTATAATTGATAAAATTATAACACAAATATTGTGAAGAAGGGTATTCATAAAATAAATGTATGGTTTTATTAAGCAGCTAGCTATATTATATTTTTTGAGTATACAGGGAGAGAAAATGTGTAGGTTCGGTTCTGTTAAGTATTTTATTATAAAGGTGTTGTATAAACATACATTTATTTACCGAGTATAAAAACACTGTACACTGGTATCCACAATATAAAATAAATACATTAAAAGTACCTCTACACAGTGCACATAGTTTGTCAAAAATAGTAACAATATTGTGATATTTTCATACTAATATATAAGCATTGATTTTATAATATTATAAAATCAATGATATAAGTGACATATTAAATTAATTATTCAAATATTCTACAGTTTTTGTCACCACTTGCCCCCCCCCCCCAAAAAAAAAAAATATACAGAATATGTTTTGTGTAATATAACGATTAATATACATCTTTTTTAACTTGAGGATTGGTCGAAGAAGACGTATCTATAATTGAAATCTATATTTAAATATTTTATTTTTGAAATATGTGATTATGGGGTGCCACCATTGGGTGACTTCCCCCTACCACTAATCATCCCAATCCCATTTACTTATTGTACTAGTGTACTACATGTAATTAAGGATTGTAAATACAATTTTTATTCAATAAAAAAATATATATGTATTTAACAGTCAATAGGTACTCAAACACAGACGTCCTTCAGCGACTTGCAATAGCGACATTATATCCACTGTCAACAAAGTGCACTGTAGTTCTATTGTATGATATACCGATAACCAAACCACGGTTGATAGTACGGTTGATTTAGGTTATGTTCGCGGTAAATGCGAGTAGTGGACAAATATTTTAAATCGTCAAACCCGCACATTGCACGGATACAATGCGTCTCGGAGAAATAAGAAATACCTGTTAAATACAACTGTTTGTTAAGACCGTTTTGTTTTAGACTTTTTTTGTACTCGTTCACGGCTAGCGTTGGCCGATATGACGTCGTCCGAGACGTTAGAGGTTGCGTTCGTGTCGGACGGCACTTCAGGGGCCACGGTATGGGACACGACCAACGGTACGATGTTGAAGACTTACAGGCATACAGCTTCCATTGGGCAAAACTGTATGAGCCTGTTGGGAAACGACTATCTCATTGCCGCCGACAAGGGACCGCTGATACAAACTTGGCCGATCAACAGCCAGGAACGAACACACCAGGTGCGGATGTTGTGCGGTGGGAAGATTAACTCATTGGCTGCAAGTCCTGACGGACTGTACATTGCAGTGGCGATCAGTGAGAAACTACAAGTTTGGATGGTAAGTAGCATTTCGGAGAAATCATCATTACATAATGTAAACTGAATGATAACTGGTTCATTGAATACATAGTTCAGACTTCCGAGTTCAGGTTCAGTCCCATATTCAATATCCAATTAATATCTAATTTACCATTAAAGTCTACAAATTGAAACCAATTGATGTTTAGGCATTGTACTATTTTACTTACATTTAAGTAATGATCCATTTACCTACTAAGTTCAAAAATGAATACATTTAGGTTTGGTTGATAACTTTTACATTTTTTACTATTCATTTAAATTTCTCAAATGTGCTATACCCAAAAGTTGCCACCCCCACACATTTGACCTAATGTAGTACCTACAGTTAACATTTTTTTTTTTAGATAGCAGGGTCTAATTTTAACATAAGTGTCTACTAAAATGAAAACAATATTTTAATGTCTTGTAATAATTATGTTAAGGCTTGTTCCGGAAGATTATTGACAACCGTAAGTCGCCATTTTCAACCAATAACTATTATCAGGTGGTCTTCTGATGGATCTTATGTAGTCACTGGTAATTATTTTATTTTATTTTATTAATAAATTTTTTTTTTAATTTTAGTATGATTGTTGTTTTTAAGGTGGTGAAGATGGTCTTGTTTGTGTATGGTCACTAGCTAAATTGGTCAATACATCTAAATCTGCCATGCCACAAACATTTATTTCTGGAGACCAAATAGATCAGTCAGCACCCAATTACATATTTTCTGATCATTCTGTAAGAATAACTGGAGTATATATTGGTAATTGTACAAGATGCATACGCATTTTTACTACCTCGGTTGACAAGACATGCAAGGTAAATAATATGCGTATTGTCATTAATACTGATAAATTATAACACATTTTTTTTTTAGATTTACGACCTCTCAACTGGTATCATGTTATTGTCAATTGCATTTGATATAATCCCTTCTAGCCTCACTGTTGACTCAATAGAAACTGCTGTTTATATTGGTACTACAGCTGGTCCTATACGGTCTTTTGATCTTACATCCCCACCACGTACCCGTGAATGTTATGTATCAGACAAAGAAAGTGGCATCAAATTTGTTGGTCACGCCAAGGCTGTAACTGCTTTAAGTGTGTCATTATTTGGTGATATGTTAGTGTCTGGTTCTACAGATTGTACAATAAGAACATGGCATGTAGCAAGTCGTCAATGTTTAAGAACTATTCAATTAAAAGAGCCTGTTATTAATATGTTTTTAACATTGATACCACGCCAGTTAACTGCAAATGAATTGGAACCCAGTATTATATTAAAGAGTTTTAAAAAAACAGAAGAACTAGAAAATGATCATTTTGTTGAAGTATATTCTTATAATGATCTTTTCGAAGAAGAAAATGATACTTTTGGACACAAAGAAGATACTAATATACGCGAAGAATTGGAAAAAACTAAAACAATCAATGCAAGAATTTATGAATTTGCTATTAACTCAATATTAAAAGAAAGTGAACCAAATCCAAAAGAGGTATATATTAAACATTTTAGCGCTTTTTACATACAATTGATCTAATATTATATTTATTTTCAGGATATAGATATTAGTTCTTTTTCATTTGTTGATTTAGAATTTAATGGAGAAAAGAATGGATTCGATAATGATGATGATAAAAATATTGATGAAAATTCCACAACTCCGAGAAAGAAAAAAAGAGGAAGAAAAAGAAGTAAAAAAAATGTTAATGACTCAAATATAAGTAATATTTATACATATTCATAAATTTGTAATTTTTAATATTTAAATATAATTGTTATTTTTTAAAAATCGTATTAAAATTATTATTACTACTATAAAGTTTTAAATAATACCTTGCATTTAATTTATTTAAATAATCTATGACTAAAATAGTCATAAATCAAATGAATATTTCCGCTTATCTAAATTTAATGTTAGTCAAATTTTAGTAATCTTTCTTAGCTCAAAATAAAATTGTAATTTTCCTATAAATTCCAATTTATGTTCAAATTTAAAATGTAATCTGTAAATTCCCAGAAGTATACAGTATGTTTATGGAGCTTTAAATCTTTAGGTGACTATTTAGTGGAATTATAAAGAACTATCATATTAATATGGTTATAAATAAGCACATACTATAACTAATAAAATAAAGTTTCTAATGAAATAGTTGTGTTAAGTGTTAATTAAAGTATGAATGATCATTTAACAATTTTATACTATTGAGTATTGAATGATTAAATTATTTTTTTTTAATAAAAAAAAAACAACAAAATAATTTTATAATTAATGTACAAATATAAAGTTAATTTTATTAGCAATGGACTTTATATTTAAATATTTATTTGCTTATACATATTATATATTGTAAGTGCATGTTTGAACTCAAAATGAGTGAAAATAATTTTACAGAAATTATAAAACAAAATTCATTGTCTGTTTTGACAGATGAATGTACATATAAATTAATAAAAATAGTATCTATGAGTATACAAATAATAATAATTTCATGACTAAATAATACAAGAATAAAAATTGATTAAAAAAAATATTATCACAGAAACAATGTTTTTTACAAGGATTTAGAGCAAATTTTTTTTTACTTATGTTAAATGACTTAATTGTTAATTTTTTTGTCAAATAAAAATTATTTAAACAATTTCAAAATAATTTTATATTTATTGTCATAGATTTTCGGTCACTCCTGGACAGTACTACGGTATTTGTCTAAATTCCATCCACGGAAATATTTTCTAAGGCATTCATTAAAATGACGTTCCATAAAGTCCATCATAAGTTTACATTTAATATCATTAGACTGCTAATAAAAAAAAATATATATAAATAAAATTAATGTGAGATACACAGTTTGTATTTCTTACCTGAGATATGTGGCGGAATGTACTGAATACCAATCGAAAGTCCCTAACGACTGCTTGTACATTTTCATACTTCTTATTAATCATTTTACATCTGATTGGCTCAAATAGCTGTATCCTTACCACATTTTGATAAGTAGTCTCCTTTAAACAAATTTTTTATATTAATTGTACAATTATTAAATTTTTCTTATCAAAAAAAATTAACTCACATATAATTCTGGCTCCTTACTAAACTCTTCTTTTGGTATGTCTTGCATTTCTCTAATCATTTTTTGAAATTTATATCGAACTTTTTTATCTACTTCTCTGGCCAAAAAATTCCACATTCTGTCTGTGGTATCGTCTGGAACTGGAGCTCCACTATCTCTGTCAGACATTTTTTCAAATACTGGATGTACATTGCTGATTAACCCTTCTTCACTCTCCTGTGATGACTGTATACTATCAGTAGATCTAGTTGCCAAAATATTATGATTAATAGCATTGTTCACTAACTTCTTTGCATCTTTTTGTGCTTCTAGCCATTTTTTCTCGTCATCTTCCTTCACTTCAACTAGTTTAGCTTCAGGTTTTGGCTGTGGATTAGCAACAAACTGAGAAGGTGGAAAGGGTGCATTATGTACTGGATATGGTGGTTTTTGGTAATTATTTTGCCATGGATTTGGGGGTTGCTGAAGGTATTGATAGTACTGTGGTTGATTCATTCGCACTTGGTTTGGATATTGTTGGTAAGGGGGCTGATATGGAGGACGGTACTGCATTGGACAGTATGGTGGTCGATTTATTTGCGGTGTTTGATATGGTCCTTGATAATTATAATTGTTAATATAATTCTGATTGGGATAGTTATAATTTACGTATGGCTGATTGTTAAAATCTGGAGATGGAGGTTGGTATGTGGGCTGTTGTACAGGAGGAACAAGAGGTGTTATTGGATTTTGCATTACATGGACCTCATGTTTATCATTTGGTACAATTTTTTTTAATTGAGTGATTGTTGATAATGCCTTATTGAACATTCTATCACCATTTTTTCCTTTGACTTTAAGTGATGCATTTGGATCTTTAGCACGGCAGTGTACATTGATATCATTAATCAACTGTTCCATAATTTTGTATGAGTGTTTCCACCAATGTTGGTCTACATTGACATTCATTCCAAACATGTCTATCATGGTAATGCTGAAATTAATAAATACAGCAACCAGGGTGTGCACGTTACCTTTATCAACACGGCTGGCATCTACAGATGTCAACAACTGTTTAACAATATTATTTGAATCTACAGTCTGTACCCACATGGGTAAGTCTCTGTTCACATCAAGAGCATCATCGACAGTCTTACAACCTGCCCATAACAATCTTTTAGTTTCTTCAAAACAAGTAGATGCTGAATTGTTTTCAAAATCATATAATACAGATGATGGTGAACGACTTAAAGTTGGCCGAGATGATATAGATGATGTACTATAAAACAAACAATATGTACTTATAGTTTCTAGTTGTAATCAGTAGAAAGTATTAAAACAATAAGTACAAATTAGTTAATTATTAATAATGAATAATGAAATTATAATATTACCTGCTATAATTTTTATAATTTTTTTGAATAGCTGATGCTATGTTGATAGTTTTATTTGTTGCTGTTGGACGATATGAACGACTTTTATTAGATTTTTTATTCTTTTTACTATTTGTTGCACATTGCATTAGTTTTATATAACCATTTAACGAATGATAATCAGCAGTAGTTTTACTTGGTGTAACTTCTTGATCAGACATCATTAAACGATTGTAAATGTTCATCATAAACTCCAATCGACCTTTCATGTCGGATGAAACAACATTCACATTGTATTTTGTCATGGTTATTAAGTAAATCAATTAATCTATGGACAAAAAAAAAGTTCAAATTGTACGATAGTTAAAATGTTGTGTATCAAGAAAATAAGGTAAATTATTAATTATTTAATATGAAGAACAACTGATAAAAGTGAAACATTATAATATAGTATTATTTGTATTTTTTGAGTTGGGTATGTAGATAACTAAAAACTATTATATTTGACATTTTTATTTGTACAATTGTTTAGTTTAGTTTATGTGAAAAATTGTATGGTTTTAAATAAATTTATTTTGATATCAGAAAAATGACTGGGTCTCACTGAGTAGAAACTCGTACTTATAATGCTATTTTTTAAAATATAATTTAACTTTATTACAATATAATATATTAATATAGCCACTTTTACTTATTGATTATCATCATTAATCATACTGTATTACGATTTACCAACTCATTGCATATTTGATATTAATCTAATAGTTTTTTTTTTTTTAATTGGGTACCTCTTTGACAATAATATACTTTGTGCTATATAACTATATAAGGATTAGGTACTGAGTTATAACTTAAGGGGATTCGATACCGTGATTTTCTGTTTTTGTCGAACACACACGCAACATAGTATTTTAGACTTGTTTTTTGCCAAACATACCAATTGATCTAATGAAGCGATAAGAATTCTAAAAACAGCTTTGAATTTGTCGTTAAGTCTACTTGCAATCGACTTTCCCACATTTTTTATTTTTTTATTTTAACTTCTCCGAAAATTGAAATATAACAATTTTGAAATACTCTTTTTTAATATGACATTTTTAGGAATTTGGGGGATAATATCAAAAATGTGGGAAAGTCAATTTCAAGTAGACTTGACGACAAATTCAAATCTGTTTTCAGAATTCTTATTGCTTGATTAGATCAATTGGTATGTTTGGCAAAAAACCCTTCTAAAATACTATGTCACGCCTGTGTTAGACAAAAACAGAAAATCATGGTATCGAATCCCCTTAAAGTAATAAGATTTATATTACATTTTTTTCTTTTTTATAATTTATACATTATTAATTAGTAAATCAGTAATCACAATATATAAAACTAACGGCAGTCAGTCTTGTAAAAAATAGCAACTTTTTAAAAATATTTCAATTTTAAGTACAGATACCATACTTATTTTGAAAAGTATTTAAAATAGTGTCTGAATATTCAGTAAAAAAAAGTATTTGTATTTATTGATACTTTGAAACTTTAGGTATTTAAAATACATTTTTCAATTAATTTTTTGAAAAGTATTTAAAATATTTAATTAAGGACTTGAAATTTAAAAAGTATGTGAATACTTTTATTTAAGTACTTTCCAAGACTGGTGGCAGTTATAAAATGTTGTAGTTTTGGTAATCGAAGGGATATTTGTAATCAATACATAGGTAAAATCAGAGCCGTGGCAAATGGGGCAATTGCCCTAGAACAGCCAAACTTGTAACATTTTAAAGGGCGGAAAATGTTTAAATATGTATGTTTATTAGGCACCAATGAGAGTTAGCCTAGGTCATAGTGGGTATATCTCCCATTCATCCCCACTGTAACCAACTATGTATGGTAAATATTTATAAATTATGAATTAATTTAATAAAGACATTAAATCCAAAAAATAGATTGAGAATAAATTGTTTTTGTAGTCAACATTTACATTAGATATTTTAATATTTAGTGTTATAGGTTTTTAAAATATAACTGTTATACTTGTATACTAAACAAAACGTTTAGATAGCAATGAATAATAATGATGTTATAAATTTAACGATAAGAACTTAGCGGTTTACTGTATAACATAGGAAAATTAGAAGGTGTATAGAATGTAGAATGAAGATGTTTCCAAATTATATCAAAATATTATTCTAGCATAATTACTTTACTCAATAATATTATTAAATCTAAAATCAGTAGCGGAAATTAGGCGTGGGGGGGGCTTTTAAATTCCCTCAAACTTACTAAGTGGTAAATGGTCACTACTATAGCTATTAAATATTACTTGCAATTAATATAGTTGGAGTGCAAACAAAAATAAGTAACTGGATACGATTAAAAAAAAAAAACAAAATCGGTGATTAATGAAGCCTAAAGCCTTCATCTACTTATCTTTCTTATCTCTTTTAAAGTAATAGTTCACAAATGCTAACAATATAATACACATTACACAATCGTATGTATTATTATGTACGATACAGGATGTCTGAAAATTGAAATAATTACACTTAAGTTTTTCATGGTGTTTAAGGTAAGATGATTTTCACAAGCGTACTTTAAAATTATGTAAAATTTCCGCCTATGTAGCGGTATGCCGGTATCGTATACGTTATCTTCCCCGACTTTTGTTGGCATACGATAAGCTAAACCGATAAAATATTAAGTACATTTAGGTACTAGCCTATATATTAGTGCAACTGACTTAATAATAATTCTTAAAATCTTAATTAATAACTAATAAGTATTGAAAGTATTGATTTTCGTAAAATTTGAAGTATAACTTTTAGCGGTACCTACCAAAAATATACGCAAAATTCCTGGGTACTAAATCTATGCAGGACTCTATATTATAGAGGTAGGTATGTACTAGGTATGTACTTTACTATTTACTTGAACACCACTAATACCTAGTAGGTACAACACGGTTGACACAAATATAATTTTAATTGTTTTAAATATAGTTACGTAAATATTACTTAGTCTATATAAAGCATAATTTTATTCAAAGTAAATAGTAGAGGGTTTAGACTACAGAGTAAATATTCGTTATTTATCTTATGCGACAGTACATACCTGCAGGTACCGAATATCAAAAAATGACAATACCTATAACATATAACTACATGAAGAACCTTATATGGGAAACAATACCCAAAATTGATTTTTACATTTAAAGATACCTACCTACATAATGAATGCCAAATTTATTCGGATGTTTAAAAATAATATAATACGTCACTAATTAATATACTCACCTATTAAAAGTTGAATGCAATTTTGATTTAACAAACTAACTAATTACATTTTACTATTTTAGACAAGGTTAATAATGAAATGGTAAAAGTAAAATGGAATCTTTTTATTCTTTTTATAACCATAGAACTGATAGCTGTCGAACTGGCGCAACAGGCTTCATCAGATGACCAAACAATCGTTGAGCGGCCAGTCATCAAAGAAATTATAAAAATAACGAAACTATATTCCAAAACGAATTGATATAGATTTGTTATTTTCAGAAGTATAATGACGCTTAAAAGTGCGCGAACGGAGGATAGAATAAAATGTTTTTTATTTATTTGTCAACGTAAAATAAAAACATTTATCTTAGAAATTAGAATATTATGGAACAATTAAGTGAATTATTAATCTAGTATTCTAGTTCACCAAGAATTATTATTTTTTTTTTTTGAAACTTAGGTACATATTATTATGATAACAAGTTAAGTTCGTCTGGATTTTTGCATTTTTTATTAGGTGCTTTATCATTGTTATCGGGACAAAATTCACTTTGCCACCAACCCTTTTTTCAATTTTCTTAATTTTAATCGAGGCAATAGCGACAATAGCGTATACGGCACAGTGTACCTATTTTAAAAGTTACAACCGTTTAAAGTGTTTTTTTGTGTAGGTATAGGTATAATCTACCTATTATAGTAGGTATTGGTAGGTCCAAAATAGATACCTATCCGTCAATGGCTTTATTTACTATGAAAATCCAGTTTAGAAATCAAACTAATCGCCTGTAGACTGTAATAGTGTATTTTTTCAAAAATGGGTAAGTATTAAATTTTAAAAATAATACGTATCAACAATTTGTCAAAAATGTAAAATAGTAATATTGTATACAATTATAAAAAAATTGATATTTGCAATTATAATGTGTTCCAGGGGGAAGTGACAGGATGACCTCATATGAAATTATACCAAAAATTATGTAAAAACTAAAAATACCCTTCAAAGAGTGAAGGGTGTAACTTTATTTTATTTCGCAGACGCACATATACAATCTGTGCAATTTATTTTTTAAATTATTTTTAACATTTACTCGAAGTATAAATTAATGTTTTTTTTATGTTATATCTTATATAATCAAATTAAATGTATTTATTTTTAAAAAAAATTTAAAGTTTTCAACTTGTTTAGATTTTAGATTTTCTTTGATCGCTCTATATAATAATTAATAATAATTTGTAATTGTACACTTCGTACTTAGGTAGGATACTATCGTTAAATTAAGCCAAGGCTTTGCACCCGAAATAACCCGATACCCGTCAAAGTATAGGTACCCGAAATAATTTTTCCTATATCTGCGTGAATAATATCAGTAGGTAGTAGGTACTGTAGTAGGTATTCATGCATGACAGAATATAGTCATGACCAGGGCTTCACTAGTTCATGCTCTAAAAAATGCCTAAATAAGTATGCACTTATGCACTATAAGCTGGAAAAATATGCATTGAAATATGCCTTTAAAAGTTCAAAAATATGCATTTATATGCACTAAAAATCTAAAAATATGTAGATTAAAAAATAAAAATAAATTAGTAAATTTTGGAATAACAAAAAATGTCCGTTCATATTATTAAAAGTTTATTAAAGGTTATATTTTATTATATTGCAGTCGGTGAAGTGATGTTTTGTGTTTCTCAGTATTAATATGTTGCACAACACTAAAGCGTTTTACACTCGCGACTTTTACTTCGCAAACCTTACAAAATAGTATTTTATTGTCGGCCAAGAATATATTTTCACCAAATTCATTTACTAATTATTGTCTTAGTCTACAGGCCGATGACAGTTTTTTTTCGGCATGATCGATAATTTCAAAACGAAGTTAAAAAATATATAAGATTTTCGAAATATTGTTAAAGTCTAGAATAAATCAGTAAACCACTGTAAAAGGATCAAGAAGATAAGTCAGATAAGACTATAAGAGTAAAGACTATTTTCATATAACATGTTTTCTACTAATTGATTAATGCGGGCTATACGTACCTAT